GCCCTTAAGGACGTAGAAGAGCGACTCAGGGTCCCACTTTTTCTTGATCGCGAGCAACTTGGCGTAGTTAGTGCCAAAGAAGGCATTCTGCCAGTCCGGTTGCCTGAAGTCGGCCTCGTTCATGTACGAAGCGCTACCCGGCGTAACAGCCGTGATCCACGGCATGAACTCGTCCGTCATGCGCTTCTGCGAAGCCTCCATGCCAGCCCAAGGCGCGGCATTGTCCCAGTTGGTGATGAGCTGCAACTGCATGACAGCCTTGCGCCACGCTGGGTGGACCGAGTTCTCGGGCGCGCTGGCGGGCTTGTTGTAGTGTCCGACGCTACCGGCGAGGAGGACGCCATTTGCAGTCAGGTTCTGGACGACCTTTTGGTACTCTACGTTGTTGTTCTCGATCGCCTCGCGGGGAATCAAGCGACCACCGAACTGGTACCGCGTAACCTCGAGGTTGCCCTGGGGAAGAGGGCCCATGTAGAGGTCGTAGTGATCACGGTAGGACAGCTCGCTGTAGGCGACGGTCAGGGTGATGCCAATCTCCTCTTCGAGGGCCTTGGTGAAGGGCGCAAGGATGACATCACGAACGTGAGCAGCGGTCGAGTTCCAGACAGTCAGAGGGCGGAGGACGAGGAACTGGGCGTTGTGGAGGAAGACGGCGAAAGCACCCTGGTCCGTCATCGCGGGAAGCAGTTCGTGAAACTTGGAGACAGCGGCGTTGAACTTCTCAGGCGTGGTCGTCGCAGCGAGGAGCTGGAAAGCGGCGCCGCCAACAGTCTGGGCCTGGTAGGCGCGAACAGTAAGGCCAGTGACAATACCAAAGGTACCGCCGCCACCGCCGCTGAGAGCCCAGTACAGGTCGGTGTTCTGTGTAGCAGAGGCGACGACAGTCTTGCCGTCGGCGGTGACTACTTGGAAGGCCAGCGTCTGATCGGCTCCGAGACCGAACTGTGTTGACAGAGCAGAGTGACCACCTCCCTGTGTGAAACCGCCAGCAAGGCCAACTGTGGCGCACTCACCAGAGACGACAGTAAGACCCTTTGCGTGGGCAGCCTCAAGGATCTCGTACCCGAGGACACCGGCGCCGACGTTGACAGCCGGGCCGGAGTAGTACTTATCAGACCATGTTGAGAAGTCAATGGTCTTCAAGTGGTTGGTCCAGATCGCAAGAGCACCGGCACCGGTAGAACGTCCGAGGAAGCTAGAGAGACAAAGTTGTCAACTACTGTGGAACGGAACTTGTAGTTCACCGCAAATTACTCACTCGTGACCAGTGTTACGGACAACAACTCTGAGGTTGTTGGCCTTGGCGAACTTGAGAGCATAGCTGACGTCTGCGGTGCAGCGGACGTCGACAGCATAGCTCACATAGTTGCCGAGGGTGCAAGGAACAGCTCTGTCAGTGAAAGGGTCGCAGGACTGGTTGGCAAAGTAGGATTGCATAACAGAAGACGAGGAGGGAATGCTAAAACATCATGTCAGCCACACACTCTGTCTGATTGCAGGTTTGTTGAGGGGGTAAACCGAGGAAGGAACTCCCGGAGACTTACTGTGTCAAGGGGTTGGTCCAGGATGACTGCAGAGCAGCACAAGCCGCGGCATCGTACGTAGGATCATGGCAGGGCGATCCAATGGGCGTGGTGGCGACCAGACGGCCACCAACGGTTGCGTTGAGCAGGTTCCAAGTGGAGACCGAGGGCCAACAAGAGTCTCCAGGTAGGCAGTGACATTGCTGCTTGGGGGTTGCTGCAGCTGTTGTGATGGTAGCCAAGGCGGTGGCTACGGCCAGATAAGAGAGCCTCATGTTGATGACTTGAGTTGGACAAGCAGTCAAAAGGCCTAGAGGTGGGAGAGTAGGAGGAGAGAGAGAGAGTGAGGGGTGGGTGACAGATTAGGTGCAAGCCACGAAAAGTGTGACTGGTTCTGGAACTCATATATCCCTCGCATCCATCATGCGGGATGCCGACTGCTCTACCCCTGGAAGCACGAGGGCCTCGGCTTTTCAAGTTGAATGTAAACTCCGCCTCCTTTCGAACTCGATACGGATAATATTGGCAGCATGCGACTGTGTTATCCAAAGTCGTAGGTGGCAACTGCGTTGCAACTGTGTTGGTAATCTCCAGATCGATAGACTCACGGCTGCAATGCCCCAAACCGGTCCGACTGACAGTCTGGAGTACGCGGACGGGAAGAAACCATGTCGGCCGAGACAGGGCTTCTTCAGGGTCCCCTTCATAAGAATGATGGAACTTCCTATTAAGGCGTGTGACATCCGACGAACACCCGCATTCTTTCTGCGCAATGGGGCCGGAGTCAACCGGGGTGAGAAGAGAACGGATGAGACACCAGACGGTCCCGACAAGCCCAGTGTCAATCTGTTCGTGGGGGCCGACTAGTTCTTGTTTCCCCCAGCTTGAGCCCACAGATCTAAATGAAGTCCCAATGATTAAGGTTGAATTAAACAGAGACTAAAACGACAACACGGAATTCTACTGCATTATAGCTCCAAGACGGCGGCTTCAAACGTTCTCGTCGCAATTAACACAGAAGCCACGGCAATAGGCAGAAACGCCACTGCTACCGAGCCGCAATGCCGAGTCAAATTGCGCCACTGAAGGAATATTCTCCAACGATTTCTTCACCCGCGATCTAGTAAGGGACTAATTTCCGAGACCCAGACGTCAGCCGCTGCTGTGCCGCCGGTGATTTCGATGCATTGCTGCACCTTTTTTTCCTGCAGGGGGATGAGGGGCTGCTTGGCCGGGGGCGCGAACGACGGGATTGGTTCCCGTTTGGGGGAAGCCAAGAACCATCCAACCAGAAAACCAGACGGCTAGTTCGGAAAAGTTCCAGCTAAAGAGGAGGGCAGTATCAGCTTTCCCTAACGTACCCTAGTCTCGAAGAAGGACTTCGTAGACAAGAGCTCCGATGTAGCTGCATCGCTTCGTGTCGCAGAAAGTGTTGGACCAAAGGAACAGCGTATCATCGTCCCCTCGAAGCGAAGGGAGGGATTAGAAAGCTGGTAGACTAGGAGACTAGTGGTCAGTTATGGCGCGCCCTTGGGAATTCCTCGCCAACAGTTGGCGACTTGGCGATGAACCAAACCCGGGAGGTGGCCGGTCTGCCACGTGGAGGACCAGGAATGTAATCTATGCAAGAAGCCCGTCCGATTTCATTTATGAAGAGAAGATCTTCCGGATCTCTGGGAATCCTCCAAGACGGAACTGCTGCTGCCCTTGCCCGCCCGTGAACAACAATGGCATCCTTCTTCCGCCTCGTGTTGGCGTTGGTCCTTGGCATCATCGTCGCCGTACAGGCGCAGGAGACGACGGTTTCTGCTACCAAGCCCAGTTACCCGGCATGCGCTGTAAGTTCATTCCTCTCTCCCTTGGATCGTTTTGACATCCGTTGGGAAAACCGTTGGAGAAACGTGGGCTAATGGCTGGACCTTTTCCAACAGACAAAATGCATAGCTAGCGCTTTTGGTGGCGGCTATTGTGCTCCCACAAACCAGACTTGCATCTGCACGAACGAGCAGTTCCAGCTCAACGTCACTCTGTGTGTCTCAGCAAGTTGCACGATACCAGAAGCTCTCGGTATGTTGCCATCGTCCTCTCTCTTCCTCACATGAATGTCATCATGGCTGACTTAGAGTCCGCGCAGCCACGAAAAATGCGAGCTTGACAAATTGCGGCGCTCCCGTGCGCAACCGATCTGGCGAATATGTCGTCCTTTCCAACGTCATGGCCATCCTAGCAGCGGTATGCGTCCTCACCCGGTTCGGATACAAGATCTTTCTCGCGGGGCTCGATATCGGCTGGGATGATTGGTTTGTCATGGCGACGTTGATCGCAGCCATGCCAAGCGCCGTCATCACCGTCCACGGAACCACTGCCAACGGCCTGGGAAGAGATATTTGGACGCTGACGCCCCAGCAAATCACCAATGTCCTCTTTTACTTCTACATCATGGCTTGGCTGTACTTTTTCCAGGTGACCCTGGTCAAACTGGCCATCATCTTCTTCTACATGCGCATCTTCCCCGCGCGTGAGGTTCAGCGCGTTTTGTGGGCGACAACAATCTTCATCATTGTCTGGGGACTGGCGTTCGTTGTTACAGCTGTCTTCCAGTGCAAGCCGATTCACTACTTCTGGGTCAAGTGGGATCGCATGCACGAGGGCAGCTGCGCCGACGCCAACGCCATCAGTTGGTCCAACGCCGCAATCAGCATCGCGCTGGATTTATGGATGCTCGCGATCCCACTTTGGCAACTGAGAACTTTGCGACTGCACTGGAAGAAGAAGGTTGGAGTCGCATTGATGTTCATCGTGGGCACCTTGTAAGTTTCTTGACTCGCGCACTACCAAGATCTGGGTTATTGGGTCTTGAGTTGTTTCTTCAGGGCAAAACACAGAAAATTAACGTCGCATCAGTGTCACCGTCGTGAGCATCATCCGCTTGCAATCCCTTGTCGACTTTGCAAAGGGATCCAACGCTACCATGGACTTTATCGACGTTAGCGTGTGGAGCACAATTGAGATCTGCGTAGGCATCATGTGTGCGTGCTTGCCGTCTATCCGCATGATCTTGGTCAAGATCTTCCCAGCCATGTCCGGCTCGACGCTTCGTAGCAAGGGACGACAGTATTATCAGCAGTATGGGAGCGACATTAGGTCTAAGAATGCCGCTCAGCGCAGCCAGGCTCGGACTGTTGGCGTGGTCACTGTGGACCGCTCCAACTCCGTTCACGATGCACATGATCGGCAGATCAAGTTCCAGAAGACATTTACGGTGTCATATAGTGATAGCGAGGAGGCGGATCTCGTGCCAATGAACAATCTCCAAAAACCGGGAAGGGTTCATCAGTAGCGGACTCTAGAATGCGCTATCCGAGCGGGTGTCCATGAGAGGGAATCTATAGAAATTTTGAAATAATTCGCGTTCTTAGTAAGAGCCAAACTACCCTACATCAAAGCGATCGAACTGCAGCGTCGATCATGATTTTGGAAAGCGCCAATGACTTGAGAAAAAAGAGGCTGGGGTCACTCACAGGGCTGCAAGGGACTCATGAGACTCCAAGCGTCCCTGTGGGTTTTGCTGATCCCACCTAAGTTACTTCTAGATGGGACGGCTGCGGCCCCTGTCATAAAGCAGAATTGGGCGCAAGTACGGAGTAGAATCTCAGCGATCGATCGGCATTGAGTGTACTCCGTAGCTGCTCTGAGTGGGAACTCCCAGCCTTGAAAACTACTCCTCGATCTCGTCCTTCGCATCCACAAATTCATCGTCGGATGATGCTTCGCCGTCACCCAGGTCAACTGATACAAGACTCGTAGATCCCTTCCTGTAGCCCCACTCGTCCTCAGATGCAGCTATCGTCGATTCATCGTCGGCGTATTGTCCCGTCACATCCGGGGACGGCCATTTCCGCCCCTTTGCAGAGTTCATCAGCGCGACCCATGAACTTTTCTCTGTATCAAAAGGTTTGCGGGCAACGGCGCAGTGGTCGTTGCGACATCTGATGAAGCACTCGTTGGGGGTGTGCCCATCTTTGTCTCTGATCGTGGTGTCGACGCCACCAAGATTGGCCGATGCCAGTGTATCCATCGCCTCTGTGTTTCCATGTAAAGCTGCCAGGTGGAACAGGCTCCTTTTGTTATTGTTCAGGACGCCCAATTTCTCGGGCTGCACCAAAGACATGTTAGACTGCAATAGTTGACTAAAGAAATAATTCGATACAAGTGCGATCATCACAGGGTCCCCAAGAGTTGACTTGAGTTACCCTTGATAATACACATTGCCTAGAGTACAAGAGTGGAAACTAACCGGAAATCCTTGAAGATAAAGGGCCATGATCTTCAGCACTTCAAGACTGTTGTTTGCGATTGCTTGCCCGAGCGGTGTGTCGCCGGTGTGATTCCTTGTAAGCAAGGAGTGACCATGTTCTCTCAAGAGAATCTCAACGAGATCGTCCTGGTCAGCCACACACACGTGGTGCATGATATTCGCCGCTTCGTCGTCGCTAATCTGTACATCAGCCCCCTTGCTCATTAAATACTTCAGTATTCTCGGACTGCTCATGTGCATCATGGGTGTTCGCATGTGCTTATCAAGGGCGTTGACGTCGATCCCTGCGTCGAGCAGTGCAACGATACTATCAAAATCGTCCGCCCAGCATGCGCAGTGCAGCGCCGTAAAGCCGCACAGGTCTTTGACTTGGACATCGGCGCTCCATGGATCCTGGGTAATGAGGCGAATTTCGTTCGATCTGCCATTCTCGGCCAGCCAGTGGAGCGGAGTTCTACCGAGGACGTCCTTTGTGTTGATGTCGGAGTACTCGGATTCCCAGAGAAGGGTTCCGGTCATTTTCTGGCCATCTTGGGCCCCCAAAGCGGCTACTTTATGAAGATTGGTCCAGCCGAGACGATCGGCAAGATCGTCCATATCAACCGGGAGGTTATATTCCTGGCTCCCTCTGCGAGTGAGAATAGTGATGGCTGCGGACTTTTGATTCTCGTCTGGGAGGTTCTCGTCCATGCCTTCGTTTTTGAGGAAGTTGAAGACGGCTGGCTGATGAATTTTGGCGGCAACCTGTGATATAAAGCAACTCTCAGCACCAGTCCATACCTTTGGTAGAAATACGACTGTTGTTCAATATGCGTAGTCTTACGTGCATGATAGATTGACCCCATTGATTCCTCACATGCATCAGGTTTCTGTCCCTCGATAACAACTCTCGCAACTGCCTGAGATTTCCAGCCATAACTAGCGGCCAAATAATGTGGTCTTCTTCCGGAATGACTAGCGGCAGATTGAGTGACACCTTTGCCCCGGCATCGAAAACGTTCTCTAGGTTAATGGAAGCCATGATCGCCCTAGAAACCAACCAGGGTGGGAAGTAGCAGGTGATGTTATGTTTACTCAGGCTCTTTCTACATGGTCCGTAGTTGCAAGCTCTCATCGAGATTGACGAGTTGAAACTCCAATGAAGCTGACCGACGACGTTTCTGAGCCACGGGGGTGTGCGGACCGCCGCTCGGGTGTGACATTGGCATCGGCATCCTCGCGGGCATCGATGTGAGTCTACACTCGCGGAGATGAGAACAGCTGGGCTATTGGCTGATACTCCGCTATTGGTGATTGGCAACTCGAACTCGCTTGTCAATCGTTGTTCTAGACTAAGGGTTTGAGCCTGCGCAATTAGCGGCTGCATGGAACAGAGAAAGTTACTCTGCACAGCGTTGAAACTCTGTAACCCATTTTGGATGTCTTGTTGGACTTTCTGCTGTTGCTCTTGCAGGGCACAGATGGCACTATGGCTTGCGACTGTTACACTTTGGATTTGAAGGACTGTTGCTTTCAGGACCTCTCTATTGTAAGGTTAGCACGCGAGCTACATGTACTCTTTCAAAAGTCGCCGCATTACTGGCTCACGTACCTGTCGTCTAGCTGGAGCAAATCAAGTTGAGTGCGTAAAATGTCGCATGAATCTCGAATGTTTTTCTTGATGCGTTGGATATCGGCTTCTGATTGCAGCATCCTTGCTCGCTTAACTTTCGTTACAATACTTCCATCCTCGATTTTACGACGCGAAAGACGGGTGCTATTCGTTCATGATAGGCATCAGTCCTTGCTGACACGGCGAAGTGAAAAGCTGTGACAACCCACTGAACTAGCAATTCAAACTCTACCACGCGCTCTTTCACAGCGTTGAGGATATGAACAATGGATGATGGTATCGCATCTTGGTGGCCATTTCCATGCCGGCTACGGAGACAGGTTTCTGTATCTAGAAGTAAACCTGCGTCTGAATTAGCTCCTCTCAAATGGTCCAAGGCCATGCTGCAAGGCATGCCCTAACTCACCTCGTAAGGCCTCGGCATCAGTGATGAGCTGCTTGAATGTTTCTGGTGCTTCTCGCAGTGACTTGATTGCGTCTAGGGCCAGACCGGAGCCTTTGCCAGTCAGTTGTAATATTGTGAGAATGCTGGTTGTAATCGACAAAGGGTCCATGTTCGCATGATATTGCCCGCATCGTTCTGTCGAAGATTACGAGGAGGATACTTTCTCATCTAAGCACCTAAAAGGGGGAAACTTTTGGACTTCCCTTAAGCCCATACCGTTATATTTATCCTGCCTTGGACCCCTCCCTGGATGCCCTAGGAGATAAATAGACTTGTAGCCCACTTCATCTGTACTACAACTGAGGCAGGCTGTGATGCGAAGGGTGGTCAGCTCAACTCAGGTGGCAACATCGGTAGTCGTTATCAAAACTGAAGCCGGACCAGCGAGCCAAACACAACGCCCATTACATGACGTGGGAAAGTTCGTTTCATGCTGGCTGTTACACAGAGTGACAACAGAGCGACAAGGAATGAGATCCTTCGATTTGACCTCCCCGGTGTGGCTACCCGTTGAGCAAGGTTCTGGCTGAGAATGGTGTAGCCAGGACGTCGGTGTCCGGCCTTAGTGGTGTGCTAGGTGAACATCAGAGTGGCTGGCTCAATCAAGGGTGTAAAATCGATGGTGCCGTGTACTTCGCATCATAGCTCGCTCCATGAAATCATTCGCTAAGCTTCGGTGTGTTGATTTCGTTCCACTTGCGCATCACGCCTCACGACTTGGTGTCATCGAGAATTAAGTGCTGCAGCAAAATGTGCATTATTATTGAGTCACAATATTGAGGCGGTTCTGCCAGTCTTTTGATACCTGCGAGTTTTGGACTCATCAAGGGCAGACTTGACAGGAGAACAACAGGCCGTGGGGCCCTAGTCTCATCGTCTTGTCTGGTGCCCTTGCGAACAGGGGCAGCGCCGAGGAGCTGCAATGTCACTCGCGATCTACCATTGGAGCAAACGGATTTTCCCTCCTCCAACCCACCGAAATTGTTGCTTGGTGCCATGCCGTCCAGAGAATTCACCCAGTCAAAGGAGGATCTGGCAGGGCACCAATAAAGCGTCCGGAGCTATTGGTCAGGGTGCTGGCGGTTACACAATGGTTCGGGTTTGATTGGCCAGTGTTTTGTGAGAGATGAAATAGCCACCGGCCTCTTGGAGTTCGTTCACCAATTCGAGGACGAGGAGTTTTCCGGTCACATGATATCGGAATCAGGCAACCACCTCACCATGATGACACCTGCTTGCCCCGCATTTTTTTGTCCCTTTTGCACGTTTATTCCTAACTCAACGGCGAGGCACTCGGTTGAAGCTTGGCGTCATACAACCATATCAAGAATGGAGCAAATCAACACCGTGATAACTGATTTATCTGTCACTTTTTGCGCTTCCCCTGGCGCCTCTGCCGCCTGTTCTCTGGAGCAACAGAGATGGAATCGCCTCGAAAAAGATCTCTACCTCCACGCGGGCGAGCAGACAGCATGGATATTCCTTGAAGAAAGGAACGAGGTCAATATCACCAATGGCAATCGTGTCATCACGGATGTCTGGGTGGGCGCAACAAAGCCCACTGCTGATGCTGAAGACAGCTGGGAAGAACGGCCTTGCGGCATTTGGATCCTGAGGAGCCATTACACTGACCATAATTTGAGGATCTTGACAGGTATCGACGTCCTTTTCGGCAAGGATGCTGTCGACCCACGACCAGGCTGGACACTGCTGAGCGCACCTCTCCAGCTTGATGACCAACCGGACGTGCCCACCCCAAGAATTTCGGCGCGATACGGCCGTCCATTACCTGGACCCGGTGACCCAAAAACACCCTTGAGAGTTCATGAAGATGGGAAATTCAAGATCGTCCAGATATCCGACACGCACATGGTCACCGGTCCTGGGGTTTGCAACGATGCCATCGACGCAAATCGTCGGCCTTTGCCAAGCATTGAAGCTGATCCGAACACGATCCAGTTTATCGGGGATATACTGGACGTCGAGAAGCCCGACTTGGTGATACTCAGCGGAGATCAAGTACACCACGATGTCCCAGACACACAAACCCCTCTATTCAAGGTTGTGTCACCTTTGATCAGTCGATCAATTCCTTTCGCGGTTGTTTTTGGGAATCACGATGATGAGGGCACCCACGCATTATCGCGTAAGTATTGAAAAGTCATTCTCCAGCCAATTATACGTGCTAACAGTTGTTGCCGTAGGCGAGAAACAAATGTCAATATTGCAAGATCTTCCATTCTGTTTAGCGGAGCCTGGCCCCGAGTCAATCGATGGCGTGGGCAACTACTTTCTCCCACTCTTTTCCAGCGACGAAAGGCAGGTTCCAGTAGCAACTCTCTTCTTTTTTGACTCACATGGACAAATTACGAGCACGGTCAAGAATCCCGACTACGATCCGATCCAGCAAAACCAAATCGATTGGTTCACCTCCATTTCACAGAACTTAAGAAAGAATCGTGTGGCAGAGGGTACCGGTGGCTTCCATCATCTTTCTCTGGCTTTCATGCACATCCCCTTCCCCGAATACGCAGGAGATAGTCTGTCGATAAGCGGTGGCAAGCGGAGGGAACCAACCGAAGGCCCCAGCTTCAACGCCCATCTCTATGATGCTCTGGTACAAGAGGAAGTATCTGCGGTGGGCTGTGGCCACGATCATGTCAACGACTTTTGCGCTGTCCTACCGCAATCAGAGCGAGGCCAGTCGGCGGGAGACGATAACAAATCGGTCAAGCGCGGCCCATGGCTCTGTTACAACGGAGGCAGCGGATTCGGGGGTTACTGTTCATACGATGAACATCGATACTACAGAAGGACACGTGTCTGGGAGATTGACGCGATCCAGGGCAGGTTGAAGACATGGAAACGCATCGAGTACTCCGGCAACCCATTCGAGGAAGTAGTACTTGTAGAAGGTGGACAAATCACAGCTCCCTCAACAACGTTAGACATCGAGAAGACATGCACAATCCTATAGACAATCGATCTGCTCCCTCAAAGACGTCTCAGAAGCAGTCACGCTTCATATGGAGTCGAAAGTGGGCGCATTTAAGAGGGTTAAAATCGGCTTAGATTGGAATGGGGAAGAATCGAAAGCTCAGAGTACAATAAGCGCTGCCAAAGCCCGAGGCCAACAGCCCATTCCTGCAATCGAGAGATCAGACACAAAGCCCAAGTACAAGGACAAACACACAAAAGTCGAAACATATCAAGCCGAGCAAGAAACCCCAGCCTTGAATGACTGTAGATATTCCAGACTCGCGAAGTCGAATCGAAAAGACACTGATGCCAAGATTCCCACCCCTACCGCTGTTGGCATCCTCAGCCGGAGCCTCTGCCACAGTCGCTAAAGAGTGTCCAACTCCCTCACCTTCAGTACGAGGAAATGACCTGTCGTTAGTCGGAGCGGATTAGCACACTGTTATTAACGCGTCAAATCAAAAATCTTCGTCGTCCATCATGCAGAGGCCGTCATCGTTCGAGTCCCAGGACTTGCGCTTATGGAGCGAAGGCACCCATGCACTCTCATGGGACTTGAGAATGTCCTCGAGAGTAGCGTTCATGGCGTTGGAATCATCGGGGTTGTTGCTCACCTTCGCTCCCTTGTAGGCCTGAGCCGACGTGGTGAGCATGTCTCCGACGGACTTCTTGGTTCGAATAACGTTGGTAGTGTTGACGTTATTCCGGGGAGCCGAGGCGACGCTCTCCGGTCCAACAGCGTTCTTAATCTTCTGGGAAGCAGCGTCGACGATAATAGGGACGACCTTGCGCACAGCCGTCTTGGCAATATCTAGCACGGAGGGGGCAATCTTCTGGACGCCAGCCTTAATGACGTCGAAGAAGCCCTCCTCGCCATTCTGGGGCTCGTTGATTCGAAGACGGTCGAGTTTCTCCTTGGGGAGTTCCATGAGAGTCTGCAGGGCAGCTTCTGCGGCAGCGGCACGCTTGAATGCGAGACGAGTGGCATACTCGTGAGTGCCGACAGCGGGGGCGTCGAAGGAGGACTCTGCGCCACCACTGAGGCGGGCGATGACGCCGCTGAGTGCCCCTTGCGCGGCACTCGCGATGAACGGCTTAGCGAAGCCGATGCCCTTGCCGAGGACAGAGCCGAGGGAGTCAAAGAAGCCCTCTTCGCCAGAGACGGGAAGAGTAGGCGCCAGGAGGCCCTGGACAAAGGCTCCCTGCGGGCCCTGCTGGTTGTACGAAGACAGTTGGAGGCCCCTGAGCTGCGTACGAGGGAGCTCAATTTCTGACTCCTGGACCCCAGACGCCGCTCGCTCTTGCATCTTCGCCATCTGAAGATGAGCCAGGTGAAGTCCAGCCTCCGTGAGCTGGGGCTGGGCGACCTTGGCGATGGCATCCAACTTGGATCTGAAGGCGTTGTACTTGGAGTTGATGGTGTGGAGAATCTCTGCAGTCTCGGGGCTGTCCTCGACCTTCAGTAGGGCTTGAAGCGATGCCTCGGCAAGCACCGCACGCTCAGTGGCGCCTGAGTTGATCGCAGTCTCGACCACGCTAGACGCGTTCCCGTCCTCGAGGGCGCTCTCCGCACCTCCGACAGTAGAAAGGATGCCTCCGGCGATGGCACCGATGGGCCCACCAATGGGTCCAAGGAAAGGATTGACTGTCGAGACGACAGGTCCTGCAACTTTGGCGATCGACTTGATGATATCGAAGAAGCCCTCCTCATCCGAACTTTCCTGAAGACCCGTGCCTGTGCTGTACTGGGTCGGCGCTGCTGGAGAAGCCACACTCTCCGGGCGAAAGCCGTTGTAGCCGTTGCTGTTTCCATTGGTAGCACTGTTGGCATATCCGTTACCGTTGTACGTGGTACCGTTGCTGTGACCGTTGGAATAGGGGGAGCTGCCGGTCTTGACCTGCCCGTTGCTGGGCGCCCCATTGGAAGCGCCGATGTTGCTACTAGGACGGGCATCGGCATCGGCTGTGAGAACCTTGATGCCCTGACGCTGTGCCTGGGGGAACTGGGGGCTGTCAAAGAGATTGAAGAAGGCATGGTAGTTGTTACCGTAAGGGCCGCCGATGGAGTTGCCAGAGTTGCTCTCGTCGCCACCACCGCCGTAACAGTGAGTGCCAATGGACACCAGGGCGTTGTTCTCAACCTGGAAGATGGGGGCACCAGACTGGCCTATTTTCATGTGTCCGTCAGCATCCTATCATAGGCACAGATGAGTCTCTCGATGAACTTACCAGCGAAAGTCGAGACCTGGTACTCAATCATGTGCCGCTCGCTCTTTTTGAGGTCGTACTTGGTGGGCGCGAACTCCTCGTACATCTGAGCACCCTTCTCTCCGCTCTCCCCGTTCGTGCCCTCAAGATACTTGTCTCCGGGGTATCCAACAACACCAATGTTGGCGCCTCTTGCGAACAAAGGAGTCTCCTGAAAGGGGATGTTTCTAATATTGCCGGTGAAGGGGCGGTTGACCTTAATGAAGGCAACATCATGTCTCCGGTTCCCTGCAGCCTCAATCCATTCGGCGGTGGTGATGATGCGCTCGCCGAAGCGAGCTTGAACGTTGGGAGTGCCGACGGAGGCACGACCAGAGTAGCCGATGTAGCACTTGATCTCGGTAGCGCTCTGAAGACGGTGGCCCCAGTCATAGACGACGTGGCCGGCAGTGACAACGGTATCAGGGCTGTTGAGCCAGCCAGAACCCATCATCCAGACGTTGCCGCTGCCCTTGTTGAAGCAAGCTTGAATCTTGACGACAGCTTGATGATGTCAGTATGTGGGATATATGACGGAAATTTGGTCGGGGGTTGCTGTGTTAGGAGCAGAACTCACATCGGAACTTGTCACCATCAGCAAAGCTCCGAGGATCGACGCGACGGCGCTTGTCATCGTCAAAAACGGACTCAGTGCCGTTGCTGCCGTCATCGGGCAAGATGGCCGACTCAGCAGGGAGGTCAGGGTTGGAGGACTTCAAGCTCCAGACCGCAGCGCGAGGAGCGCTGCCGTTGGCGGCTGAAGAGGCGTTGTAAGACATTGCTTCGTTCCTTTAGTGAGTTACTGTTTTGTTGGGTGTTGCTGGGCAAAGATCGTTGGAAACGAGAGGAAGTTCAAAAGTCCGAACGGTCGACTAATGAGAGTAAGAATGATATTCGAAGATGGAAGCTTGCGTGCGTTAAGAGCTGCGAATTGATACTGATTGGAAACTGATGGTGAGTGGGAAGAAGTGTCACAATGGGATGAAGTTGATGGGCCTTTATGTAGTTTGAATGTGGCTGCGGTCGACCTCAACTAGTTAAGTTCTGGCAAGCCCATCATAAGTAGGCAGTCATGAGACGCCGGTTTGATCTGTCGAGAACGATAGAAGACGTTTTAGACAATGATCCTCATACAATGATGACTATGAATCGGTCTTTCTGGACTTGAAGAGCCTTTCCTGTGTGATTTTCAAAAGAAAAGAATCAAAGAATCATAACTTTTCTCATCTAAGATTTCGAGTCAATGATATTCCCAGATGCCAAGCAATGCCATAATAATAATAACTAGTTTAAGATCCCCGAGTGTTTGAAGTGGCTTCCGAGATCTTGAAGAAGGTTGAAACGGCAGCCTTAAATCCAGATATGTCCAAGTCCTCGGGTCCGCTAGACGTCATTGGCTTGTGTCTAGTAAGGTATTGCCTTATGTAAGGTGGACTTGCTGTATCCGGCCTTTCATGAAAATCTGGGATCAGTAATCGTCGTTTCGAGTCAAAATCGACGCAGACAGAGCAACTGAGTCGGCCGTTTTCGCGTCTTTTAGAGGTCATTTGCTCGATCGCGCTTAGATGTGGCTGTTGGTGTGGACGAGCCCCGACCGCTTGTGGCGGCGCTCTAACTGTTTGCAAGCGTTCAGCTAGTCAAAAGCCACCCGAAGAGCTGGAATACAATTTCCATCACTGGTCTGTGAACATAAAGCGCAGGTTTCTTCAAAGAAAATGTGTTTTGTAGTTTGGGCCCAATTTTACCTCCTATGGTCTGTCTTGAAACGATTTGCGAATCGAAGATATTCCGAATATCTTCGTCATGGACGTCAACGGGCCATCCGCAGCTGCGGTCATTGTACGTCGCATCCCCTTCGCAAGAGTCACAACTCGTTCTACGTTGTTTTGCCGTCAGGGCGCTCGAGTTTTGCTGGTCCAAGCAGGCTAATATTGTTAGGGGACCGAATTCACATTGATTGGAGTTGCGGCTGCCTTGATCGGTGCTCGAATCTACCTGCGATTGGTCATTCAGGATCTTCCCCTTATCACGAGCGACATTCTTGTCTGCGTCGCATGGGTCTTTACTGTAGCATCCGCTTCTTACGATATTGTCTTTCATAAAATGGGGGTATTACATTCGCACGTTGCCTACACCCTTGAAGGATATGACGGAACTCCCGAGGATGTAGAACTGGTGTGGAAGGCAAGTACCCTTGCCCTCTAGAAAAGTAGAAATGATTTTTGGGAAGAGATTCGAGGGAATAGTGATGATGCAGATCAAGCTTACTAACTATTACACTCAGTTGCAATGGAGTGGCCAGTTTCCCTTCTTCACAGCCTTCTATCTCTGCAAGGCGACACTTTTAAGCCTATATGCTCGTTTCTTCCCGATTTTCATGGAAACTCGCCGCAAGATCTTGTGGTGAACCATGGTTTATTGCGGCTGTGCATATGTGACCAATATGCTCACGATACTTCTGATCTGTAGGCCAGTGCAAGGAAACTGGTAAGCCTCATCCATATCCTCACACGAGCTCTACCTGACTATCTAAAAGGTCACAGGATCCGGCAGTCGCGTGTAATCCAATAGTGTTCGCCCAAGTATTCCAGATCGCTTGGGCGTTGAACTTTGCCGCGGATTTGATGAGTAAAGTTTCCTTTACCAAGTCTATCAAGCAGAGAAGCATCTGTAACGTCTCACACACCTCACAGTATTCTGTCTTCCGTTCTTAGTATTGTACCGGTTACAGCTGCAAAAGAGTGTCAAGATCAGTGTTTACTGCACATTCTTTCTGGGAGCCATCAACTTAGCAGTCAGTTTGGCACGGTTCCTGGGTATCCAGGTGTCAGTGACATCTTTTCGCTCCTTCACACTCATTGGTGAGTCAATATTCTCATTATAATTCGGCTCCATCCAGGATCTTGCAAATCCTCTCGGATTTTGGAGCTAAAGTGAGCCCTGCAGAGTTGTGGAGTGCTCTTGACTTGCAAGTCGGTCTAATGATTGCTTGTCTACCGACGCTACGGCCATATCTATCCTACAATTGGGGAATATGGCCTTTCCGCTCAGCAACACAAACCCCCAAAAGCTCCAGCAACCGTACAGAGCTTTCCGAGCTTTCCGAGCTTTCTCAACAAAACGATCAGCCAATGTCACAAATTCGAAACATCGACGACCTAGCCTTAACGGATAATGTCAACAACAACGATGGACAGAGTGGGGATAATTCGAACGGCGATCTCGAATCGTCAGCTTTGGGAAGCCCTAAATCGCCAGCGTCGATGCTTCGCAGTAATCACCAAGCAAGATGAATCATGAGCTATGTTATTTGATATTCACACTAGTTAAGCGAATATAATGAGATTCACTAGAATGGAGAAGAGACCGATTAGAGCAGTCTCAAGTTGCTTTGGGCCGTTTCAGGAAACTAATATTCCCCTGATTATGTCTGCTACTTAAATCAGAACAAACCTCAAGAGGAGTTCCAATAAGTTGTGTCAACCCAAGAAGTCCAGCCCGGAAGAATCATGTCAATGGAAACCGCACTCGACAACTTCTTAGCCCAGCTCACGCGCGTGCCGCTAGCACCAGTCCCAGTGTTGCCGTATTCAGCGTAGTAAACGTTGGCGGTGGGGTTAGTGCCCCAAGCAGACCATCCAACAGGCTTAACGACGTCGCTCAGTTGCGAGTTCTGGACAACGACGCGTGCGTATTCCCTCCACGGTCTACCCAATACCGTAGACTCCTTGGAGACACCGGCACCTGACTTGGCAGCAATTGTGGCCTTGTTGATCACATACCAGTAGGCGTCAGCGCTATCGCGACCACTCGCAGTGATGTATCCGGCACCGTTGATGGCGATGGTGCACTTCTCGAACCAAGCGTTGCCGTCGTTGCCGAAGATGAAGTCAGTCGCACCCTCGATGTAGCTGTTCTTGTAGACTTGATGGGGCTTGTTGGTGTAGATCGTGTCCTGGTAGCCGACGAAGCTGCAGCCGTAGTACGCTTGGTACTGGCCATTTGCAGAGATGGCTAGAGCCTGGGATCCTTTTCCGTAGCCGTTGATCAGGTTGACGTTGTAAAGGCTAAAGTAGCTCGTTGCAACTCTCAGGGTTGCGGACAAATCGTTGCTTCCAGCATCGGCAGCTGAGAGGGTGTTGGTCAAGATGACTTGGTTCTTAGTGTAGTCCTGGTCGTTGGTGGTGTATGCGTAGATAACAAGCTTGCCACTGAGACTGGGAATGGAAACTTGACCGGAGTAAGTGCCCGGTTGGATGAAGATTGTGGTAGTTGCTGTGGAGCTGGCCGAAATTGCGTTGATAGCCGCTTGGAGCTTTTCGGTATTATCAATATCAGCCACAGGACATCACGTCTGATAGCTGTGTAATGCGAAGGAAACTAGCCTATTGGCTTCAATCATTCAAGTACTCACTGTGGTATACTGGCCGCCGGACTTGGCAACGACGATTGCACCGGAGGGGGGCGATGTTCGCGAAGCAGCAAAAGCATGGCCCGCCAAAATCGCCAAGGTCGAGAGCACGTCAAAGAGCTTCATATTGTCGCTGAGTCTTTCTATGATACTTTTGGATTCTACCACACATCTCCTATGAAAGACAAACTCCCATGGTTCAAGACCTTGCAACTTCTAGGATTTATATAATCTTGAGCCATGTTGCCATTGACCTGGAGTATCCTCATTACGCATGATGTACCTTATTTAACCAATTTATCAAGATGAAATCCTTGGCTGCATGAAAACCAGCCACCGAGCACCGCCATTCGATCCCGAGTTGACCACCCGGTGGAAAGGCGCTTTTAATGAATGCTCCCGTAATTTCTGTGTCGCGGAGTTCGGGGTCAAGGAAATAGGTGGACTGAAATTCTCCGCCGACATGTAAGCATCCTTCTTTTCTTTCCCCGCCGCATGCAGATTTTCCGAAGCTAGCCCCGGCTGCGCTTCAGTATTCCCGTCCATCAATTCCGACAATGGACTCTCCGGATTTATCAAACCTAAATTGAACGTTGCTCAGAGCGGGGTCAGTGGCGCAGACTGGACTAAACTGGAAGTCTGGGGTCGGGTCCTTGAGGCAGACTGGACTGAGCTGACGTCAATTACGACATCTTGTGCCACTTTCTCAACTTGCTCCAGCTTCCTATTGTTATGTTCAGCGGCTGCTTTTATGGGAGGCTCAACGAGAAAGAGGGGTAAAGATCATGACCGGCTCAGAGGCACAATGACTTTTCTCGATAGATTACGAGTGTTTGAAAAAGACCTCAGTACTTAGCCAAATACAGATGATTCCCAAGTCAACCTCTTCAATTGTCGGACTCCAAGTTGTCAGAATTCGGCATTGTGTTCTTAAAACCCGACATACCTGGGGCACTTACATATACTGATACGGTCCCAGTCATCATACAGCTCTTAAATGGGGCGTCCTCTAAACTTGGACGGATATCCGAGAGACCCATTTGTCATAGCCTATGCAAACTAATGTGGTATGGAGTATGGTCCATGATAGAAGCTGAAGATCCGTGGTCACAGCCGCGTCAGATGAACTATCATATGCATACATGTAAGTAAGTAGGCAGGTGTAACAGGGTTTACAGAATGCCGAGGTTTCGAGGAAGTAGTCGCGCTCTCTCATACCGTCATTCCGAAATATATCCGTATAGACAGGAGAATCAACGAAAGAAACCACCCTGATGCGCCAAATGCGACCCGCGTAGCAGTTCTTTGATGGCGTGGTGGGATGTATTGATGGGCTTTGGTCTCAGAGACTACGTGCTCGTCGTCACTGTCTAAGGGTTTCAAACCAGCATATGATGACTTCGAGAACCACATTGTAGGGTTCTTGATTGTCCAACAAGAAACCATTTCAAGATGAAAAGGCAAAGGGATGTAGGACTTCGATCTTGACTTGGTGAAAAATGGGATGCTCAACCAAGATAAAGTAGGTATTGAAAGAGTGCAGGATGCGCCAGTGCCTGCACATGTGGGTTGGATTCAAAGATCTTTGGTCAGGAAAATTCCCTATATCATCATCTGCTCGGTTGATGATACTTGTGGCTAGAAGTCGCCTGGTGCCTCAGCCCTGCAGCCCTCTGGCCAGAGGTTACTTGCACACTGTGTGATGAACTGTCACGAGTTATGGCACACAGCAATGGGCATACGGAGTGTGGTAAAGTGGCTTAACCTATCAAAGTGGAAATAGACAAAAGAGAAAGGTCTATATACAGGATGTATGTGATATACACGTGATACAGCACGTGACGGGCGCTTCGTGAGATGCGGTTACTATCCCTGTTACGTGACATGAACCTACACGTCCTCACTAGCAGTTTCGTATTGACGGTTAATCAGAGTGGCCAGCGGAATATGCATATGTGAGTGAGCAGAAAAGAGCGTCTATTCGTACTAAAGAGTGGATGGAATCACCACAGGCTTGTGGGCCTAATGCTATCCTAATAAGTCTTGCAGAGCTAGGACCAGGTGGAAATGACAGTCTGGCCTGTTTCGTGATGGTCAGACCATTCCGAATGGGTTATGTCCATGACTCGCGTAGAAGCATGCATGGATTCTGTCACGTATCCACTGCTGAGTTACCCGGGGTACCAACACGAGCGGGTCTTGATACTCTCCTGCATCGAACTATTCCGGCCAGAATTTTGCTTAACTTAAATCAATCTTCCATTGACTCATGTATTGCCTGTGGGAGAGGCCTCGCAACACACCGCTTTCTCCTTAAGCCTTTGAGTGTGTCAAAATGATGTTTTGCCATACGACTGGTATATTGGGCCCTCAAACACTACTCATCGAAACTGAAATCATTTGGTTGCCGCTCATGACGCCCTCTACATTCCTCACGCTGGAGAGTTCGACTTGCCCACTACTAATACCCGTACGCCTCTCAAATCAAGAGCAGACAGAAGCTCGCGGACCAGCATTAGCCTTGACGTAAGCAGGAACATCCGCTGTAGCAGTCAAAGTGTAGGAATAGAGGCTCTTGGGGTCAAAGGAGGTTCCCGAGTTCGCAGCCGTAGTACCCGTGCAGCTCTTATAGGTGTTCCCAGAGGCGTTGAGCACAGCCCCTGAGTCCTTGGTCAAAGGGTTCTTGGTGTTCTCGAAGAACACATTCTCGATGCGTGCGTTGGTGCTACCGCGGGCATAATGGCCATATGAAGTGACGCCGTAGAGATAATTGTTGTAGAGATGCGCTTGTGCCAAATTGTCGGCGCTCGGGTTTCTTTGATTCGTGTTATCGAACCAGTTGTGGTTGATCGTTCCACGAGCCGTGACATTCTCGGTCCAGCCGATACCAAAGGTCTTGTCGTGGTTCCGGAAGATATTGTTGGAGACGGTGAAGTACGTGGTGTCCTTTCGAAGATCCACCAGGCCGTCCCCGCCATCTTCGAAAAGGCAGTGGTCGATCCAGATGTTGCTCACGGTATCGGCTTGAACGCAGTCACGGTCATTCTCCACGCCATCATTCAAGTTGGTGTGGCCAATCTTGAGGTTGCGAATGATGATGTTCTTGGCTCCGTTCAAACCCAGACCGCCTTTAGACGCCAAGTAAGCATGAGAAATACGAAACGATGAGGCTGAGGATTCACCTTGGTATAGCTCGCCAGTGGTGCCAAGCCCGATGACAGTCTTATCACTGGCTATCTTGATTTCCTTGCCGAGAGGGCTGACGGTGATGCGATCACTGACTTTAATCACGTATTTGCCCGATGCGCTGGCGTACTTCTCAAGATCAGCTTGAGTCGTCACTGTCACCTCCGTCCCCCCTGCGCCGCCAGTTGTTCCCCCGTTCAGAGATGCAAATCCAGTGGCAGAAGCGAGGCATCCGCTGGATTGTCTCTCAGTGACAGCGCCCCAAGCGGCGACAATGCCTTGGATAAGAACGATGATAGAGGCCTTCATAGTTAGTTGCTCCGAAAAAGAAAAAAGAAGTATCTTTCTCTTCAACGTATCAACGATTTGTTGCGAGGAAAATTGGGAGACTATGGTTTTAGGATTCAACTTATATCGAGTTATCTAACATGAAATCACAAATAAATATAGTGCTGGCATGGGGAGTAGCATTTCCTTGAGCACGTCATTATCAGTCTTAGGTGATAGCATCCAGCCCATCCGCCTTTGACACTGCCTAGACTAAATCAAATTGGGATCTACGGGGACTTTCCTTTTAGCCTGAGCTTCAGTCTTGGACGTAAGACCATATCGGAGGCCGCAACAATCCGGACAGGGTACGAGAAACTCCGACGCCGTGGTTCATGGAAATAAGCTTCTCAATAACGCCATTTCAATAATCAGTTGTGATTATCATAAAGAAGCGATGGGCATTCAAAGAGTTGCCAAGGATTTCCAATTCAAGAAGGGTCCAGTGTCACATTGTGCCAAGTAATTCAATATCGATGATTAAACCCACCAGTAGTGTGAAGCTGGTTCCCCGCATCACGAGGTGTCATCGCGTATACAAAGTCCCGCCAATGAGTGCTTCCCTTTCAGAGACCTTGATCCGTTTTGGGGATGCTCATCGCCACACCTAAGACAAGGCTATAACTGAACTGATGTAGATTCCTCTCAAGTGGTGTTCGAAGAAGTCAACCGAAGCAGTTGTAAATATGGTCTATTCGTTCAGTGGTTTAACGACATGTGCTGGATAAGCTTGTGCCCAAGAGCCACTTTCTAATCCGCGTACCGCATGCTCTTTTGACGTGATCAGTTAAGGTGCGGGATGGTAGATGCAAATCTCGATGTTGAGGTTGGTTATTCGTAGATCGTAATCTCGGCACTCCTTATTCTCTATTCGTTCTCCATGATCTATCTGGTATCTTGGTTTCAAATGACAACTTCTAACTTATCGATTGGCCGTTATGGTGCGTGCTGCTCTTTTGGTCATAAAGTCATTCGAAAGGTTTCGACTTAAGACTTCTCTGTAGTCCCTGTTTTGCGAGCAAATCTTATTCCCGAAACACATGCAAAGCCAGCCAACGCCATTGCCCCGGCATAGTAAGCGGCAGGGCGAAACTTTTCAAGCCCATCAACATCACCTGAGATGGAGTAAAGGCCAGAATCAATTGGTGTGCCCTGAGTCTTGTAAGTACCTAGCGTGCGAAGAGTGCGTTGGAAGACTTACGAAGAAGAAACCGCAGAACCACGTCGTCCAGACAACAGGAATGATGCGGAGTGTATTCTTTCCACCAAATGTGGCGCTGACGGCAATGGGCGTGAGGCTGAAGAATGCGCCGCATCCGATGCCGTTGAAGATGAGATATACAGAGAAGATGCCGATTGATGATGACAGGGGCCACACGATGAGAGACCTGAGGGCCATGAAGAGCATGCAGATTGCCAGACTCTCGACTGGTCCCAGAATGGTATCGGCAACCCACCCGGCGACGACTCGGCCTAAAGTTGAAGCCAAGTTCCAGCAGGCGAGGATGATGATACCGATCTCCTTGGTGTAGCCCATCGATCTCGAAAAGATCGGAATGAAGTAAGGAGGAATGAAGAGTGGAAAACAAGAAAGTACCGTGCCGCTAACGAGCAGGAGGAAGCGAGGTTCCTTGAAGCGATACCTGTGACTTGTTAGTCGTGATTCTGGTTTGACTGCAGATGAGCACTTACCATTGTAGTTGACGAGAGGTCTTCTTCCCCGAACTTGATCGTCTTGGCAGGAATTAGGACGCAGGGATGGAGACGCCCCAGAGAACGAAACCAAGAATGCGGAATGTCCAGGAAACACCCAAGTCCTTGACAAGATAGTTGGTCACGACACTCATGATGGCAGAACCCAAGCTGCCACCACCGAAAACAAAACCCATGACCAGTGCTTTATGTTTCTTGAATAGACCCATCGGAGCAGTCGAGACAGACTAGTAGTAAAGGGTGTTAGTTGAGATGCGTATCGCTGGCAGGAGACATCTTGACCTAATGAAAGGCATGTTGCACTCACAAAAATACACAATCCACCACCAAGACCAAATACAAGACCATGTAGGAAGAACAAGGCGACAACATGGTGAGTAGTAAAGCTTGCAAGGACTTCGCCCAACCCCATGAAGATGCCTCCAATCAATGCAGCCAGCCGGTATCCTATCCTGCTTATGATTTTGTCGGAGAAAATACTGAAACAAATCATGAACGAGGTCGCCAATGAGCCGACGAACGTCAAAGTGGTCAGACTTGAATCCGTGGTTTCGACAAGCTTGACTTGCATGATGCCCCAGGAGTAGATGACACCGAGATAGACGAACATGGTCAGTGACGATGCAGCGACCGTAATCCAAGCCTTTCTATCATTGTACGTCTGCTCCTCCACTTTCGGGGCGGAATCCGCGGCATGGTCCTCGCTCGAGTGGTCGGTATCGTGCCCATCTTGGCTTGGGACGGCTTGTCGTTCGGGGTAGGTGCCTTTTTCGGTATCCATCTTGGCAGAAGTCAAATGAAGTCGGCAGAAGCTGTAAGGAGGATACTTTCCTCGAACTGGAACTTTCAGTCTTCTTCCCGGAGCGGCTTCGAGCTTATCATATTATCGACCATGAGTGGGAAAATCGAATGTTGTAAGTCGGCATTCGGATGTCGGCTTTGCGTCAGAACCCATGTCGGATTTTCTCACGATAATGCGGTTATCGTCTGCAGGATTTATGGAGATGTCGAGAGTGGAGTTTCTTTTGCAATTCCTCCGATGATTTTGACGCAGGCCCACCGTTGGAAGGGCCGGTTGGGCTCCGTGAACACGGAGCTGCTGGCTTGTCGATCCCGATACCTCTCGGATTTCAACACTAGCGCCGAATAATGAAGGTATATTTAGTAGAGTTGAAGTGCCGATTGTCTCTTTTCTCACACGTCTTTTCGGTAAATACACGCAACTAATAGAACTTTCACATCCATCCCACCTCAACTTGTCTCAAGTTTACAGTCTCTCGCCATGGCTCCTGCAAGAGACGACGAGCTGTTCACAACAGCCAATGCCGAACTTCCCACAGCCAGCACCAAATCCAAGGTTGGAGAGGGTCGCCTCATGCACCGCTCTTTAGTCCAACACCCCTCCATGGTCGAATCAGCAAGCGGTATCTACCTGAACCTCGCCAACGGCAAGAAGGTCATCGATGCATGCGGTGGCGCTGCTGTAGCTCTGATTGGCCATGCCAACGAAGAGGTCATTCAAGCCATCTCGGACCAAGCCCGGAAGGTGAGCTACGTTCACACCCAAGCCTACACCACGCAGCCGGCCGAGGAACTTGCCGACCTCATCCTCGATGGCAACCCACATGGCCTCGAGAAGGCCTTCTTCGTATGCAGCGGAAGCGAAGCCGTTGAGTCGGCCCTGAAGCTGGCGCGTCAGTACCACTTCGAGAACGACCAGCCGCAGAGAAAGCACTTCATCGGAAGAAAACAAGCGTACCACGGCAACACCATGGCTGCCATGTCGATTTCGACAGTCGCATCACGAAAGGTCCCCTACGAGGGCTTCTGTTACCCCCACGTCTCATATGTATCACCGGCATATCCGTATCAATACCAGAGAGCAGATGAGACCGAAGATGAATTTACAGCCAGACTGCTCGCTGAGGTTGAGGCTGAATTTCAACGGGTTGGCCCTGAAAATGTCATCGCCTTTGTTGCTGAGACAATGGTAGGCGCTACAGCCGGCTGCGTGGCACCTCCTGTCGGCTACATCGCTGGCGTTCGTCAGATTTGCGACAAGCATGGCTCTCTCCTCATCCTCGACGAAGTCATGTGCGGCACCGGACGCACTGGAACCTACTTCGCCTTTGAGCAAGAGGGTGTTGTTCCCGATATCGTCACAGTCGCCAAGGGGCTCGGCGGAGGCTACGGCCCCATTGCCGGCGTCCTCATGCACGAAAAGGTCGTGTCTATGCTGAGGCAGGGGTCCAACGCCTTTAACCACGGGCACACCTACCAAGCTCATCCCATTGCCTGCGCAGCTGCGTTGGCTGTGCAGGAGATTGTGAAGCGGGATGACCTCGTCGCTCGCTGCGCACAGCTGGGGAGGCAGCTCGAAGCACTGCTGCATATCGAGCTTATCAATTGCAAATCAGTCGGTGAGGTTAGAGGGAGGGGCTTGTTCTGGGCTGTCGAATTTGTCAAGAACAAGGAGACAAAGGAGACCTTTGACCCTAAGCTGCGGTTCGGACTTCGAGTTCAAGAGCGGGCATTTGAGAAGGGCGTGGCTCTCTACCCTGGCGCTGGTACAGTGGACGGCTCGAGAGGAGATCACGTCCTGCTTGCTCCTCCATTCACCATAACAGAACAGGAGTTGCGTAAGATTTGCAGCGTGTTCAGGGAAGCACTTGAGGAGATTGAAGCGGAAATCCTATGAACGGCGGTCATGTTCAGGGGCATATTGCTGATGCTTGTATTTGCCGGGGCAGTTCTACTTCGCACTTTCGTACAAACTCAATTATACCCATTCTCCAAAGATAACCCAATCAAACCCAATGTGACTAGCCCATCGTGAAGATCTCTGAAGCATCGACATCTTCCAGCATTGACCACCAATTTGGCCAAAGCCCTTGATCATCCATGCTGCCAGCAGCATCTATCAAGGCTTGTGGGTTTAGCCCGCCAGTGTTCTGATTCGACTTGTCGCCTGAGATAATGTTGCCCTCACCCGTGCTGAGGGCGCTCCGCTCAGCGTTGTTGATTTCCTCTAGATGTTGGGCAGATCTGTCAACTACCCGAAACTCGTGGACAGATTGATGCAAGACACTGAAGTCGAAGCGAGATCGTCCGCGATATCTTTGGGTATCAGATGTCGCTCTTTGGTACATCAATGACCCATTCTGGATGGTCTTGAGCTGTTGTGTGTTAGCCGTGCGTCAAGTAACGATGGTCTACTGGCATTTCGTCTCCCATGGAACTAGTGACTCACCCATCCGTCGCCGAGGTCCCAGACCTCACGGAACCTGTTAAGATATTCTATACTCGAGTTCATGAGCTCTTCCGCTTTGGTAACATACCCAGCAGTGATTCTCGGGAACATGAAGCCATAGAGATTGATATAGCAAGACGAGAAAGCGCAAAATCCGGCGAACGGCGTCATGACTGCGACACCGCATTCTGACGCTTCTAGAAGAACGCTTGACAAGTGACCTGCTGCTTCGAAAAGTTCCTTCGCGCTTTGATCCCACCAGCCCGGAGGAGCCTCGGCCTCGAGTGTTGGGGGGTCTATGGGTCCGCGAGGAGTCATGTCAATTGTCGGCAGGAAGGGGAAGTACTCTCGCTGGAGCATGACAACGCTACCATAATCTCGGATTAGCCCTAATTAGTTCTTGCGCTCTAGGGAATATCTCGGCTAACCTCTGGTAATAGAGTAGGTTCAGGTAGACAAAAGATTCACCATAGCCTAGGGTGGCGTATGCAGCAACACTGTTGACCGGGTAGTGTAGCCGATGATGCTGTTTCGTTCTCCATTCCTCAAGTCTCCGACGCCAACATGCTACAGGTGATGTAGGAACCCAGGGGCAATTCTCGGGCAAGCACATGCCCGGCGCTTTACGTCCGTCGTTGAACACGAAGGCCATGATATCAGAGTAGATGTCGAACCCGTCGGCCATGACCCCAAAACTCTGGTCCAAATCAAGATACACCGAAGTTGTGGTTCCACTCGACGTGAAGTTTTCCCCCGCACCTTCAGCTTGCAATGACGACCCTGGCCCTAGAGCAAACTCGGTCGAAGTAGGTGGCCGCGGCACATTTAGCTTTGCCATCTCCTGTTTAGGAAGCACTCGCGGGTTATATGTTCCTGAGCTCACCATACAATCCATGATGAAACATGCCCAGAATGTCCTGGTCTCGATGGCGGGAGTGAGGCTATTCGGTTCGCTGCGGTGAGGGATCTCGAGTGGGAAGGGTGCGACCCGCGAACTGTGAAGCAATTGCATCATGCGAATTGCGATTCCTACTCGATGTCAGACACATTCGAGGTCAAACTTAGGAAGCTGACTTACCACAATGCATCCAGGCCTTGTGAAAGTCTCGCGTGCCCCATTCATACAACGTTAGAATGAGCAGGGCTTGAATGACCTTGACATCTGGTGGTTGTAGTATGCATGCTGCCAGGACATCACACGCGTAGGACGCATATCTTTCGCTCGGAAAGAGGATCTGCGATCGCAGGCGATCCGAATCCGGCTTCTGCGTCTTGGTCATTGCAAGAACTGTTGCCAACAATGCCTTGCTTTCTCTCGGGCAATTGGAACCAAATGATTTCATAAAAGACGAGGGGTGAATAACTCGGAGCTCGGGAAACTTGCGCCAGAAGGCCTCCAGAGCGATGTAGACAACATCTTTTGGGACTTGCTCGAGATGATGGTCCATTTCCTGTCTACCATCTCGATACTCCAAGCCCGACGAGGGCGTCGCTGGGCCCCTTGAATGGGGCGCAGAGAGAAGTTGTCGCTGAGACTCGACATCCTGATCATGCGACACAGATGAAGCCTCTTCCGTCACCCTTCGAGCCCGTTTCGCTGCCCGTCCATTCGGCGCGACGTGGGGTCTGGTCAGTACGCAATCCGATCTTCCCGACTTCTCGCATTTGGTGCACGGCGGACTTCCGCTGTTGACGCACTTGATCTTGGACCGTCTGCGGGGTAAAAAAACGGGGTCAGCGGCCGTTACATCGGATCCGATTGATCGCCGGGGCGAGGCCGGAGACCGATGGGGGACATACCGGCAAAATTCGCATGAGAGACTGGAGCGCATGTTTTCCGATATTACGTTTGCTCTGTCGGTTCTGGTACGAAAACCGAAAGAAACGGGAAAAGATTCGGATTACGGATACAGTTTTTTGGACCGCCGGGACCGGCTTTGTCATTGTGGAGCTGGAACCGGTGGATCATCGTTGAAAACTTGCTTCTAGTGTCCGATTCTCTCCGATGAGATGACAGCTTTGCGCGATAGCAACTCAAAGACGCCGATAACAACTGATATGAGACCTAGTTTCGAGGTCGATGATACTCATCACCATCATTTGGTGATTCAACAGGACCACAGGCGGGACTGAACTGTCTAGATCTGCCATTTCGCGACTGAGTAGACTCCATGAGGGTTCAGTGAGTTGAACATGGATGATCCTTGTACCAAAACCAACCCACTTCAGTAAGGCAACTGTTAAATTAGACGTGATGGCCCAACTTGAGCAATGTACTGATGGAGTCTATGAAAAACCACTACTCGGTTTCGGACAACATCAGCTCTAACTACGCCTCCCCATCTTAACTGGATTATCTCAGTTCTTTAAGACTACCCAAAGGCTTAGGGTTTGCCATCTAAGCTAGGCTTGCGTGGCTGTAGGCAGACAAGAACAAGCAGAGCTGACTCTCGAAATGATATTTGTTGCACAAGCCTCCGCAGCATAGTCCGGAACCACAGTCACGTCCGTAATAACCGTCTTGGTAAAGTCACCGCAGAACTTCTGACTTTCTCCCAACCGTCCTGGGGTGCTCGTAGCCCGCAGAGCACGTAAGCAATTATCAGCATTACAAGTCTTTGGTTTGCAGGCCTCGCGTTTCGTCATTTTGACAAGGAAGCCTCCCCTTTCGATGGTGTTGACGAAGATGAACCCAGATTTGAAGTACGCATATGAGGCCCAGCTGCCCGAAAAGGTGATCTCGCCTCCGCCAGGCGCCGAATCGTCTTCGGGGTAGATGTCAAAGTAGGCTATCTCACAGACACCGGCGTCGGTGGGGTCGGAGGGGACCGAAGAAACGTCGTAAACGCGGAGTCCGGCGGCGTAATTAGACTGGTACGACAATCCATCAATAACGTACTGGTTGTGGTCGATGCCGACGTTGGTCGCCTTGTAAAGACCAGTCTGCTTGGGTGCCTCCAAAGATCTTATGTCCCAGATATATGTCACGGGATATCCGTCTGCAGCTGGTCCAACGACCTCTTCTTCGTCGTATTCATCGTCCATAAGTAACCATTCCTGATTGCTCTTGTCGAGAACCCAGCCTTGGTGAGTGTAAGTAGCACCCTCGTAACTAGTCCTGGAAATGATCTTTGATGCATTCTTATCCGACACGTCGTAGCTGCTTCATGTTAGCTATTGCTTAAAGTTAGTTGCGGGTAGTCTTGATGACTGACATGGTCAAAGTGTCTTCGTTGAAGCCATAGCAAATGTCGCGTCCTTCATACTTTTCGTCTGGGCCGCGGTAGATGAGACATTGTGCCTGCTGTCTGTCAGCGCTGACTCTTACGCATACCTACATGTAGAGGGGAGAGTCTCAAAGAGGGGTCACCGACATCATGAACATAGCGGTCTTGGGGGTCACATCCAAGCTTTACTGGGTTGGACGGGTCTTTCAGATCAAAGAAAATGAGGCCGCCAAAGCAACCGCCATCACGCGGAGCCGCGCCAACAGCAACGCCGTAGCTTGCTTCCTCATTAATCACGACATTGTGTGTGCGGCCGAGAGGCAAGTCGGAAAAATGGCCTGTCAGATCCTTTTCCTTATCATAGACGACTGGGGCGTCGGCCTCATCAATATCAAGAAGCTGCACCAGAGTTAGTCTCAGACAAAACTAACACGAAGCAATTAGGTGGATAGTACCTTCTTCATGTCGAATACCTGGAGCCCGTGGCCCGCAAGTTCGGACCCGATGACCATGTACTCCTTGTAGTTACGAACCTCGTGCCACCATGAGTTGGGTCCCGTCGGAGCATATGATGGACTCGTGTTCATTAGCCATGCCACAAGTACGTGATAGGTCCATCAGACGCTCACAGAAATCCAAGGTGCAGTAGACGTCCTTCAGGTAAGACTTCAATAAACGATGTTCCGTCGTACAATCCGGAGGCTTCTAGAATCAGCGAATGACGCACTAATACCACACTTAATAAAGGAGTCAAATGTACCAATGAACTCTCTGTCGGAACTAGGATCGGTCCATCCCCAAACAGTACTACCAGTTCGTCCAGATGTAGTTGAGTGTGGAGAGCCAAGCGTAGCGTGGTTGATGAAGTCGTACAAGTCAATCTCCCACAGCATTAGCAAGCTTTTTCTCATATGGAGAATATCACCTACGTTCTTGCATCTGAATTTGTGCAACGGGTCGCCGGGAATCGCCTCAGCAACCCCATCAACACACTTTGTGTAGTTCAAGCGGGGCCATGAGGAAGAATTCATGAGACCGGCCTCAAGCTCTGCCTCCCATTGCGTCTAGGTTGTATCAGTATATGTTCTCTCAACCGTCATAAGCCACTTCTCAGGTTGCGTTGAAATACTTACGATCTTGGCCGACATCAATTTCTCGTGCATGATGTTAGAGTCGTAGAGCGCTATGACACATTAGCATCAAACATGCGTACTTGAAGTATGAGTCGAAAGTATGAGACCCACCTGCCGCAACTTCTTCATTTTTGGGGAGCTCTTTGGCGAGGACAATGGTCGCGCAGGCCACTGCGCCGGATAGGATCCACAAGCGCATTGTGAATTGACTACCTAGTCTGGACAATGCTGGGAACGAAATCGAGTCTGCGAAACACTGCTGACCGTGGCTTTGGGCGCATCATTCAAACTAAGCTCGGGAGTAGTCCGATATATATAATATGATGTTCACTGCTAGGTTGCACATTAGCAATCACGAGTCCCGCTCGTCCCGGCTTGGTGCGTCAACGGGACTTTTGTGCTGTGGTGTAAACAAAGTGCATCCCAAGTCACAATCAATCAAGTCAGATACAATCTTGGCAGCTGCATCGGATGATCTCGCGACACAGTGAGTTGGATGCCTAGATACTTGTGGGTTGACATCGCTTGTAAATCAACCTCTATTAGCAAAAGACCAACTGCTACCCATGTACTGAATAAATAAGCAATGAGGCGCCCGCTGCCAAGAGTCCCAGATGCAGAGGTTGAACGACGTGATTAGAGAACATTGGGAAGGCGCAGAGTCCTGAGGGGTGCTTGCCAAGAAGCTATACATGTCATGTAACCTCAACACGGACTGCATGTCTCTCTGTTGCTTGTCAGTTGCAGACAAACAGTGGTCTGTACTACCCATGGCACTTGATACCAAAGATCTTTTTTGACAATGCGCACCCAAACTTCCCTGTCAGATGTAATCATGCTGCCATTATCTGCCCGTTTGACTGGTTTATCTCGTTGAGGACATAACAGTTATTGAGCGGCTGGAACAAACATCTAGGTACATGGACTTTCATTCCGATCAACACCTTTGCTCTGTCGTCAGCCCAAGAGAAATTGGCACTGCTATATATGCCTTAGGGATATGGACCATGTGGTGGAGTCGAGTAACTGGTTGCTGAAGCGAAAACGATACAAGTTCAGTGTACATACGTTTTGGAACGTCTGAATCCTTAAGTCTGCAACGAACGATCGGCGTGATATATCATGTCTGCGCTTGACTAAGTATTTACATGAAAGTTACAGGCCAGATGGATCAATAGACGAGCGAGAAGGTTCTAATTGCTAAGCTCCTACAAGCAGAAGTCTGTCATCCTTAAGCCGCCATGTCACAGCTAAAATCAAGCCGCTTCGGATAGACAAATAAGCTGCAGTCATCGTAAAATTAACAGGCGGTAGTGAAGCTAGTGGCGACACAGTAAGTGCCGTCAGAGCCACTGCCCATCTTAGTAGGCTCGGCGCCGCTGTCATTCCCCGTGTACTGCATTCAATAGTCAGCATTTTTTGAAGAGAAGTCGGCGTTGAAGTCAGCATACCCTATCACAAATCTTGTTGTCATCTTGGCATGAGCTGGTGACCTTGCAGGTGTCGCCGTAGTTGGTGTTGATGCCGCAGAGGACTCCGCCATCCTTTGCAATCACATTGTTCATGATAATGTTGCGTGCACCCCCATTGCCGCTGCAGTTACCAAAGCTTCAGACGACCTTTCCGTAGCTAATCAAGCTTCAGCAACTTGTATCAAAACAAGGGGTAACGAATTGCAACTCACTCGTTGGCATAAAAGTTCTTGACTGAGACAGTTCCAAATCCGTTGAATTGGATAATCTTATCCGCGGCCTTGAAGGCACCGCCACCGTTGACGTAAGAGGTTCCGCTGGTCTGCTTGAGGGTGCTGGGTGGAATAGATTAGTGACGAATGGTCTTACACTCGGGACATTGAAACTTACAGAGCATCCTCGCAAACGTCAGACCACCAGACATTGTTACTAGTCATCGTCAGTCAGCTGTTACCCGAGTGCTTGCTGTTAGAAGATTTCGTACAGTGTGCTGCATTCAATTAGCATCGAATTACTTAGTGTGGTTGCGGTAGAACACTCACCAGGTTCCCTTGCAGTGAACACCCTCTGCCTGATCAGGCCCAATGATGACGTTCGAGAGAGTGGCACCAGACTCAAGAACAAACATAGCATCGGCCTCGCCTGCTTCGTCCTGCTCGGCGCAAACCCTGGCTACTCCGATGTCAGTAGTGAAACACCCACATTTCATCCAATTCCTTCTGAAAACGTACGGCTGCGGTCAAACTTCTTCATGCCGCCATCGTACGACTGTCCAACAGAGACAGTGATAGCCTTGCTGGTAGAAGTAGCCCCAGAGGACTGGGGCAGAGCGGTAGTAACGCCGGTGGGCGTAGAGCCTCCTGCGGCAGTAGTGGTCTTCAATGTAGTGGTCGGAGAGCTACCACCAGCACCGCTGTAGGCGCAAGTACATTCAGCGGAGATGAGACTCGGCTTCTGTGAGCAGTTGATAGCCCAAGCGGGAAGAGCTGTGGTGGCAGTCACGGTGCTCTTCGTGAAGGTCGCGCAGAAGGTCGAAGCGGCGGCGTTGGACTTGATGTAGCTGACACACGCGTTCATGTCGCTGTTCAGGCAGCCTAGAGCCGCGGGAATGAGAGCAAGGGGGTAGTATTGGTGCATCTTGGCGTTGTCCGGGAGCAGGGTGCTGGGAAGTCTTGGCTCCGAAGATCAGGGGTGGAGCTTGATGATGTGATCTTGGTTCACTTGGGGATATAACGCTGTACTCATAGCCATTAGGAACTTGATTCTTGAATAATTGGGCGCTCAATCTTTCTCTTGTTGCTTCCTGATGTTGAAAATGATACTACCTCACCTAGGTCTCCCGCTACCTTCAGCCTCACATCCGATGAATGAAGGAAAATGTTTTCCAGCGCAGATTTCCACCAGTAATGAGTGATTAATAGTTATCCAGATGAATAAGTATGAACTGGGTCTACAACAATCATTTTGCCTTCCCTTTTCCGAGCACTCCTAAATCGTATAAGCTTAGCTTGACGCAGGGGGTTGTCACCGGGACACATCCGAGTCTACCCCACAAACCCGAAGATACCGCGCTCAGTTGAGATCCTACGTAGAGTATCGTTTGTACCCTTCGATCAGTGTGTGTGGTTTCCACGTGGGCATCATTAAAGAAGAGTTCCCCATTTGTGGAAAAAGGCATAACAATCAAAGGCAACCCCGAAAGTTGGTTCAACCTCTGCATGCATGCGTGGCAGAGACAGCATACACATAGCTTATCCACATAGCTTATCCGCATAGTATTATTTGGTCCCTCAAATGGTTAGAAACAAGATCGATTGAATTTTTGTAACGGACTGAGTCCAACGCAGAACAAAAAGGTAATTAACACATGAGAATAGGCACACTGTTGGTATCCCTATCACAGGGTATTGGTTCGAACCGTAGGGTCCTGGGGGTGACGAAGTATCAATATCTCTGTATTGGTTAATTCTGCGTAAGGAGTAGAAGGGAGATTTCAACCGGAGGTTGGGTGGACCGTCGAGGTGTAATTGTATCCTCTCGAGGTGGCCCCTGCTCTACCCTTACTCACGGTCGAATTGGGCTTCCAATCCGACACACACAAAGTTGCGATGGGCAGTCTATGCACTTCACTCACTACATGTAGCGATCGGAAATTGTCGCGATTATCCTGTTTGTTCCCAATTCCACTGAGGCAGCTTGATCATGACCGCTTTCGTGATGCGGGATGTTGGTGTCTGACAGGAAACGGCCCAATGGCGCTGGAGGAATGAGCTAGGTTGTACGGTAACGCTGTTGGTTCGCAGTTCTGCACAGGTGGTGGCTGATTTTTGATCCCCTTCTTCGCTTGTTCCATTTCTTGTTCCAGACGGACGACGAGGCAGTGCGGCTTGCTGGAGCGGGAAAAAGGAGGGGGACCGGGCAACGATAATCTTCACCGCGGCACGGCAGAGCGGGTTTAGATGGTGTGATGACGGTTCATCTCGCCTCTGGCTGCGACCCGAGGCACGGGTTTTTTGATATGGTGGCCGGTGGTCGAACTTTCTCGGCTTTGGCAAACCGTAAAAACTAGTCCCCATTGACGGTAAACTAACTTTCTGAGGGCCTGATGATGTCCAAAAGAGATAGGCTCGAGAGAATTGAGGCGGTTTTGGATAACAGGCGAGAGGACGGCAGATGAACATTCAAGCCACCATCACCAGACTACAACTTACATCTTCAAACACCACCCTTACCACTATCCAAATCCATAGGTTTCTTCCGCTGCGACTGGAGCGAAGGGTGCCTTGGCTTGGACTAGGTGCTTTGCTCCGAGTGATCTGATATGTTGCGTCTCTAGGTTTAGCGGCTTAAGGGGTTCCCAAGGACAAGCATTCCGGTTACTTCGGATTCACAGTTCCCACTGCCCATTGAGTTTGGGTTTCCCCTGGCTACAGCGACAGATGCTCGGTCTCGTTCGTGGCCAAGAAGCAGCCGATCGCAACGTCACTAAGGAAATCCACCGTTGGGCCAAAAAGAAGTGGCTTTTGCTCTAGACTAGCGCGAATGGACACCTCAATCTTGCGGGAGAATGAACCCCGATCGCGATTCGATACGGGCAGCTAGGGTGGTATGTTACTGCGGACCGGAAAAGTCCTTTTGTTATCGCTCGTTAGTACAATCGGCAAGAAATGGGATTGGCCGATGGACAGTTGCACCGCTAAAAGGCGAGGAATCAGGCTGAACAAAATTCGAGACGTCTTTGGCGAGTCGGCTAAGGTGTTGGTGAGCAAGCAATCTTGGTTCCACATCGAGCCAGGACAGGCACTCTTCGCCTGGCCCCCTCTTTGTGAAGCTCTCCCTGCATTCTCACGCACAGTAGGCCCCTGATCCTTGAAGCTTTTGTCCAGGAGGCCAAAGAGTTTCATTTCGAAGACGATGATGAGGAGTAGTGTGTTATGCTGACGTTGCGGTAGCATTACACAGTACTCCTTACGAGCCTTCGTCTTTTAGATCGAAAACGCAGCCACGTACAAAGCAACGTGCGAAGAGACGTGAAAGGGCCTGGGCCATTTGAATTCACGGGCCAGCTGCAGGCCTTGGTCGCTTCTGAATTCCCCCATCGACAATCCGGCCAGTGTTGCTCGATAGACATACCCATGAGGTTGCATGATCTGCGGCGAGTCCTCAACTCCCCCTGGTCTTTAGTAGAATTTCTCCCTCCGCCCGTGCCTTCCAACATTAGATCATGATTGCTCACGATCCCAGCTGGCAGCTATTACAATTTACCTGGTGCTCCAAGCGCAACGAGAGGCGTGCCCAGCTTGCGATCCTCGTCGTCACTGAACATCGCTGCAGCTCGGTTCTGGGAGCGTTGATGAGCTCAGACCCTGATCAGGCGTAGGAAGTTGATAGCAGTGGGACACGCTCGGTGACGGTCGCTTTTGCCAGTCAGAACAGCCCATCAGCTAGCTACATCACTGACACGACGTCCCGCCATTTGAACGCCGACCACTTGACCGAAGCCGGGTACTTACAATAATCGATGGGGAAAAGAAAAAGAAACAAACCTGACTCATTCCGCCGACCAAGTATTCATTGTAGGTAACGTACGGAGTAGCCCAGCAAAGCTTCTCTAGTCATCCTTGCTGTGATCTGCCTGGTCTGCGAGAAACGATCGTGAATCCGAGTCATGAACGACACCTGTCACAGCCCTACAGCCCCGCGTTGAGTCAAACATACGGCAGACTGCAAGAGGCACTCCGCCAAAACACTTTTTCTCAGTAGACTTACGGTAGCCGTACAATTAAGTACGCTAAAGTGCCATACGTGACCTACGTATAAATGAATATAATTACTAATCCCGTACAATATAGCAAGCAATTGCTTACGACTGGAGGCGCCATAGATCACGTAAGGGTAGTTGACTAGGCGGTAGAAGTGGGGCCACCGGGGTCTATACCTCCTTACTAATTTCCACTGCCGATCAATTTCCTCTTTTTCCTACCTAACTTAATATTCTTTTAAGAGAGGTAAGTAACCCGCCTACGCCCCCCTATTGTTACGAGCAGGTGAAGGCAACTAACTGTGGCACAAAGCAAAAGCTTCCATAATGATGACTCCGCATCATTTTCCCTTGTTCTGCATTATATAGCTACATGCCCACAGTGACAAGTTGCGGCGGGCGTAACACCTATTTATTTGTATGCGATTGTATTTTATTATATTATAGTTAACGTTACCGTTAACTAGTTATATTATATTACTTTATTTTCTGCTCTTTTTATTTCATCTAGTTATAGTATAATTGCCTAATTATATTTTTACCGCCAGCTAGTTGTAGTGAGGTATGTTTGCAGAAGTTGAGGCTGCGGAACTGGTAACAGTATTCGTAGTCGGGGATAGCTTCAGGGAAGCTGTGTCTGTAAGTCATAAGGTAAGGGAAGGCTGCGGTGATCAATCGTAGTCTTATCAAAGAGGTTCCCCCAACCTCCACGAAACATCTCTCCAGCTTGGCACGGGCTGTTAGTGCCATGCTAAGGAGGGGCCCCAGTCCCCGCGGTCTGCCGCTGCGCGCTGGGGTGGATTAGCTATACGCTAATCAAACCCTTAACAACGCACATTTTCCCCTCGAATCGAGCCGACGATTATTCAACCTAACGAGCCGCCGTCGACTTGAATTCGCCTTCCGCAGGCTAGACGAAGTCTTCCTGGTAGGGCAGGGAGCAGAGGTTCCATCTAGCCTCCCGAAGGAGACGGGCGACTTTCTTTCCCGGCGCAAGTGGCGCTTCCGGGCCCAAATTGAACATCACCGACCGACTTTTCGACTTCGCTCTCTCAGCACCTTTGCCCCTTAAACGATCGAAGACTCCCTCGAAGAGACGAAACGACCATTGGGTAGCGATGTATAGCCGCGGCTATATAAGCTATGCTCGTTACAGAACCTAACAGCAAGCCCTACAACCTAGCCTTACGAGGTTTTGCCCCTTGTGGTTTCCCTTGTGGCGGTATTACCTATTACGGTATACTCCGGACGGTTACTGGAACGTTGTGTAAACCAGAAGCCTGCGGGCTCTGGGTCGAAGGATAGGAGATACTGGCGGAATTGCGTTCTAGGGACGACCATAGCACTGTCTCGGGCAAGCCAGCGGCACCCAGAGACAGGTTAAACACATAGTTGCCTTTGGGCACGATTTGGAGGACGAGCTGGACTGTATCTAGTGATAGCTATAGGCCTACGGCCCTCCACGCCATATACCCTTCGGGAGGTCTGCCGCAAGGGCGGCTGCGCCCTTGCCGCTACGGCGTTAAAATACAACAACAACAACAACAACAACAACAATTCTCCCAGCAAATTTGCACTGCATGTGACGAGGTCGCAGTGTGTGCAATCCCATCAATTACCTATATGAACCCCAACAAGCGACTCATAAATTTGACGGAATTAACAGTCTAATCTAGCCGGGCATTACCGACTTTCCGAAAAGCCTAGAATCTTCCTTGAGGCTTGGTGGCTGAGACATACAGAAGATGTGGTTGCAACGGTTGAGAATGCCAGGCTCCAGGTAAGTGTGTTTCCGGGCAGACCGCTCCGAGAAGTGGGGGATGCATAAACCAGGGCCATCCGAGACAACCTCGAAGCCACCAATTTGCGTCAACGGCATAACATTTTCCACTGAGCTGGCACCACAAGTCATTCTCAGCCTTATTTTTGTGGTTTCATGCGTCATCAATCCCTTAACCCCTTTTCACTGAATCTTGGGCAAAAATGGCGCAGCTTAACACAACGTCGCGACCTGTCTGAGCTAGCTTCGTCGGCTGGTCGGCCTAGTGGGGCCCCGATATACCGGGGAAACAGTGGGTCTACGATCGGTCCGTCAAAACAACCTTAGCCTTCATTCCTGCCTTCTGGATACAACAGAGTCAAAGGTGATTCATCGAATAGGACATGAAAAAGACGAGGGTTCTAGCATTCAGCATCGTCGTGCATTGTACCCTTCTCAAACGTGATAAATGCAATTTGAAGAATTGCCAAAAGGACTGAGCAAAAATGGATTGTCCTCAACAAGTTCCTCACGATGTAGAAGTTTCTGTCCAAAATACGTACAAAGCTGACGTTATTCTTGCGAGTATAAACGCGTCAAGTGCGCTTGAATTTTACAAATCGGTCGTGCTATCCAGAATACACATAGACGAATTATGGGAATGCCTCAGTCGTGCACATGAGTGAGTAAATGACGAAGTGGAAATATTTCACAACAATCTAGGAAGTTGCTGGTCTACTGAACCTTGCAAAGGCGACCGCCACTCTTTTCCTCCCAGCCTTCATTACCCACACAAGGTTTGCACCATAGAACATCCTTGGGGTCGATGCTTCGCTTGATTTTGGATAATCGCGGGTAGTTCGCGCCCCAGAATGCCTGCTGCCAGTTCTTCTCAAATGGAAATCCCTAATCGAATCGTTAGCAGAAGCCATGATCTGGATGTTTGCACGTGTGATGTGCTTTCATTATGTGTTATGAAAACTTACTTCATTAATGTACGATCCTCCATCGGGCGTTAGCTGGCGAAGAGGCTCAAACCTAGCGTCTAGAATCTCTCTAGCTTTCTCTCCAGCTGCTGGATCCCACGGTTCGTATCCCCAGCCCTGCCAAGTAACTACCTATTGTCAGTGACTCATCTAACATGTAGCCTTAGTAGACCTTGAGACTTTGCTGTTTGAGTACTCACGCGCATGAATATATGCCTTGCGCCAGGCCGGGTGAACAGAATTTCCTTCGCCCCGGGGCTTGGCTTCATTGACACCCTTTCCAGCAACCAGGTAGGTTCCTAACCAACCATCGTTGAGGAGAATGGGCTCCAGTGCACTCTTCAGTGCATCCAGGTCATTGGTCAAAGCTTTCTTGACCAGCAGTCGCGAAATGAGATAGACAGAGCCGCCTGCTTGACCATCATCAAAGTTCTCGGCATACCAGGCCGCAAATGAGTCGTACGGTTGAGTCAAGATCAGTAAGTTGACCTGTCCAGGCCAACGTTCCTGGATAGTTTTGTTGAGTGGCTGAAAGATTTCGTTGATCTTAGCCGTATCTTGCGTATCTAAGATGATTGTCTTGCCCATCAGACCGGCGACTCGCTCCGGAAGACCGGGTATTGGAATCGGCGGCGTCGAATTCACAGTTGCCATGAGGTAGCCTGACAAGCCGGAGTCGGAGAGGTAAGGGAGCTGAGAAGCGCCCCAAGTAGCGAGGTCTAGAGTAAAGGGGGCTTCTGGGACCGTGAAGGCCATGAACAAAACCATGGTAAGCTTCTTTTCAGGATGCGTTTTGACTGTGACGGAAGTGAGAACCCCAAAAGTCGAACCTCCTCCCTGCGATGCCCACGTTAGTAGATGCACAATAAAGACTCCTGCGGACCAAGACTTACACCTCGCAGGGCCCAGAACAAGTCGGCGTTTTGATCTTCATTGACAGTGATAATATCACCGCCTGGGGTAACAACTTCCATCTGAAGCACGTTGTCTGCCGCGAGACCATAGTGCGGTGCCAAGATCGAGTGGCCGCCGCCCGTCACAAAGCCACCCTGCGAAACGGTCTTACCTCCACCCCCAACGACAACGCGGTTGTGCTGGCTTGCTACAGCATACACATCGACCATCTTCGCTCCGGCTGCAGCGGTGATGGCATCCCCGGGTATGACCTTTCCTGATCCAGCAAGCTTAAACTGACCCTCGTGGTACTGGATGTTGTTGAGGTGGTGAGTCCAGATCGAAAGGGAGCCTGGCGCAATGGAACGCCCGAGGTAATCATGCCCACTGCTCTTGACGACTAGACGAACCTGATTCTTCCGCGCTGTATATGAGTCACTGTCAGCTAAACTTGTTCTTTTTCGTGTTGCGAAATGCACTCACCAAAGTCGACGGCAGCCTTGACATGCTTCGCCGTGGTGACGTTGACAACATAAGACGGATAGCCTGCTCCGCTGCAAGGAAATCCATCAAGAGGAACACAGGTATAGTTGGTCCAGTTGTCCCACATCATTGAGATGGGGTCTTCAGCATGAAACTCAAAGGTTCTCCAAGCCGGCAGAAGGTTGGGGCATTGGTCTGCACTGTAGTTCGGCTGCTCCGGGTGACAGACGCCGCCAGGAAGAAGTGGCTTGAAGAGCCGTCCATCAACCGCCTTGTTCAGGCGAGACCAATCATTGCTTGAGGGCCATGATGCAGTGCCTGGAAAGGCCTTGCACTCTGGGGAGGCAGGTGTTTCATGTACCAAAACAGATGCGCAAAGCGCGAGGAGGAACTTGGAGCAAATCATGCTGCGTGTTGAGGAGTCCGCCAACCACCGCTCTTTGGAAGGATAGGTAATCAATGTGAATAGCTTCTTTACATACTTTATCTATGGCTGTTGCGGCTATAGTACTCAATCTGATGTGAATTGTGACGAGAACGCCAAGGCAGAGATCTCGTGTCGTCCTGCCCGATCCTTCGGTGTGCAAGGGCGCAGCAAGGCGGCAATCTACATTACATCGAAAGACGTCTTGGCTGACCAGCCAATCACCGTAGCCCGTATTCTTCTCATCAAATCAACTAGTAAGCGATGGCCTTCTTTTGACAAGATTGTTGTGGATGGTACGGAAAAGCGAGCCGAAGCGCTGATTTCAGGCTATGTGCTGCGAAGCAGCTGTAAGCCCTCCTGGACCGACGGTACCGTTCCCGTAGTTTCCGCAGGATTACTCCTGAAGGATTCTCAGCGCAACCTTACGCGGGTTGCCAAAGGATTGCACGCGCTAGTTCCTGTGTGTATCTTATTACTGAATGCAGTCAGCCGTAGAAGAGCTGTAGGAACGAAAGACCCTTTCGGCAAGACGAGGCCCATCAATGTCCTGAATCGGACATCAGTCGTGTTGCTGGGAGCTCTGCGTCAGGATTGAAGGACGTCTGCCGACCAGAAGCGCCCTGAAGACTATTGACAGTGCTCAATTTTGTCTTCAGACAATTCAAAATTTGTCTAATTTTGTAACCTTTAGGTCGTCTGATAATATGGAGGCTGATGCTAGAAATACCTTGGAGATTTCAACTCCACCTCAACTAAATGTGGACAGAAAAAAGAGCAATACTCACGTTATTCCTGTCAACGACCATGTTGAAGAGAAGACTCAGAAGAAACTCGGAAGCCAAGGAACTGATGTGGCTGAGACGACGACTGGCGAAGACTCCGAAGAGTCGCAGGCTCATCAATATGCAACACCACGAGAGCTAGCTCTTCTATCAACAGTCTTTACTATTGCAACCTTCATGATAGCCATCGATGGAAGTATCCTAGGTAAGCTTATCTGATCTCCACAGCAGATTTCGGTAGATCTTTGAACTCACCATCTCCAGCGACGGCGATTCCTAAGATAACCAGTGATTTCCATCGACTCAATGACGTGCCATGGTACGGTAGCGCGTACCTCTTCACAGAAATGGCATTCCAACCTACATTTGGTCGCCTGTACACCTTGCTCAACGCCAGAATTCTCTATTTGACCTCTGTCATCATCTGTGAGTGATAACAACAGCTGGTATGTCTCCCGATAAAGTCACTTACTAAAGCTTTCCGTAATTTCCTGAAGTCGAAGTAGGCTCGATTCTCTGCGCTGCCTCGCCAAATTCTGCGGCATTGATCACTGGTAGAGTGATTTCTGGTATTGGAGCCGCCGGCCTGCTTTGTGGAAGTCTGTCGGTTTACGGCACGTCGGTTCCTCTGCGAGCTCGGCCGTTCGGAATGGCCCTCGTCACCAGCATGTACGGCGTCGCTGGAGTTCTGGGTCCGACTCTTGGGGGACTCATCACAGATACGCCTCGACTTACCTGGAGATTCTGCTTCTGGTAAGGTGCCCCCGAATGATGTTCTCTGACAAGATTCTGACTGAAAACAGGATCAACCTACGTGAGTGATGAAGGTGTCTGGATGAGCATCCGACCAAGATTCCCTGACAGTCTGTTTAGCGTTTGGGGCGGTAACTTTTGGAATCGCGTACAAGATTTTGAGAGCGAGAACACCAATACATGGGCGACTCTCGTTGCGCCAAAAGCTGAAGAAACTCGATCTACTTGGCGGGTTTCTTCTCATCGTCGGCCTAATCACTCTGTTCTTTGCTCTTCAGTGGGGCGGGACCAAATATCCCTGGTCTGACCCTAAGGTCTACGTATGCCTTGTGTTATTTGGGGTTTTCATCGCAGCTTTCGGCTTGTTGCAGGCAAGAAAGAAAGAAGAGTAAGCTGAATATTCAGGTGGAGTTCTCGATGCTATCTTTACCAGGAGCTGACCGGGCAAACCTCCGAACCCAGGGCCACCATCCCTATGCGGATTTTCTCACAGCGAACGGTGGCCATCAGCTGCACCTTCAACATGCTAATGTCTATGGCACATAATACGCACATGTATTATTTGGCGTTTTACTTTCAAGCAGTCTTGGGCACCAATGCCGTGACATCCGGCGTCCGCTGTCTCGCGTACGGAATACCGTGCAGCATCGCCATCATCGTCACAGGAGCGTGCGTCAGCTCAAAAGGCTACTACGTCCCGTTCATGTGGCTCGGGTCCAGTGTCTTCATCGCCGGCTGCGTTCTACTCCAGAGACTTGATAGAGAATCGTCGATGGGGCAGTGGATCGGCTTTCAAATCCTCAGCGGGGCGGGCATCGGCCTCGCGGAACAGGTCCCCTTTATCGCGGTGCAGGTCGTCCTTCCCGACAGCGACATGCCGACGGCGTGTGCCATGGTGGTTTTCCATCGCTTGCTAGGTGGTGCAGTGGGACTTAGCATCGCTTCCAACCTCTTCTCCCAGGAGCTTTACCGTCGGCTGGCGGGAGCGCCGGGAGGGGTCAATGTCAAGGCAATACAAGACGGGGGCGCATCGGATTTGGCGAAGGCGGTTCCCGCAGCTGTTTTGCCGTTCGTGCAGAAGGCTTTCAGCTTCGCCATCTCGAGGGCCTTCATCTTGCCAATTGTTGTAGCTGGCACTTCCTTGGTGCTCAGCTTTGGCATGCAGAGACGATGGATTCCAGACGATCGGGTGCAACCATCTCCAGAGGGTCAAGAAGCCGGCACCGGCGACCCAGTTGCAACTGCGCCGTTAGAGCAGGGAAGGAATGAAAAGACTGTATAGATATTAATAGGCTTCCTAGAGTACGCAGCATTACCGCTAGGCTTTAGACAGGGCTATACATGTACTTATCGTTGGAAAGTTGCAATCGTTCTGCTGGAATCAGTGCCTGATATTGCAGACATCATGTCAATTTTACAATCGTTCTGCGTCAACAATCGTTAGCCAAGATGAGGTTTTCAGTGGGAAAGGCTTCAGCGTCTACAGGGGCCGCACTGGAGTCGTACCCAGCTTCAGCATGCTCTCCCATCTGATGATTGGGTTTGGAGACATTCTGCACTATAATGTACCTAAGCATACGTGCTAAGGTAATGTAAGGTAGTGTAACCTTACAGGGTGGCCCAAGAAATGGGGCCGCTGGAGCAGCACCCGAAGCAGGCGCTGGATGGGAGCCTAGGAATGTACGGGCACCCTAAGCCAGGCCCTGGAGCCCCTGGAGCAATCTCTGAAGGCAATTTTGTGACGATGTTCGCATTTTGATATGATGTCTGTACATTGACATAGTGTTAGTGGCCAATGTGTGGAAAACTCCATAGGCCTCATGTTCGTGTAATACATGGTAAAGTGACCCCCAAAGGTAGCGGTCATGAAGCCAATCGATCTCGTTGTGATGGTAAAACATTGACGTCTTTGATACCCATCATTTGATGTTCTTCAGCAGAAGAATCTACTCTACTTGCACTTTGAGTTAAGATTCAGAAGCGTGCCTGGATATGTGTAACGAATGTAGTTGACAGCAAGGAAAGTCAATTCTAACACTAAACATCAATCAAGAGAAACCACAAGCAACCATTGTTAAACAATTGAAACGCCAAAATCGGTGCACCGTCCACTTCATGCCGCGTCTATCAACGTCTTCAACACTGAAGAAGCACGTTGCAGACAGTCTGCCCAAGCAATCACCTCTTCTTTCCCAGTGACGACAGAGAAATGGGCTCTGAAGATTGAAATGTTAGCTTCCTTCTCAAAACGGAGGTATTCCACCAAGAAAGTCACTTACCCTGCATCGGTAACATAGTACGTCATCCAGAACCTCTTCGGGTTCTGCATGATAAAGCAAGACTCGGGAGATAGCCCATCGGTGTTCGAGAACATCTGGTTAGGCTCGACAGTCTGCTCATAAAGCGGATTCTTAAAGAGAGCAGGCATTTCTTCGCCCTCTTCTGCGCAGAGCTCGAGGGCTCTGAGCGTCCGCTGGTAGCAGCGGCCCGCCGTAAACGCCTCCTTGATGACCTGGTTACGAGCGTTGGCAGCCTCGACCATCAACTCGAAGCGCTTCCGGGCTGGCACACTTTCGTCGTCTGCGATGGTGCAAAAGTTTGCAGTGATTGGTGTGTTGACTTGCACAATGTCAGGCCGTCCCTTGTGGTAGTGTGACATGGAGACGGCCTCCCAAGACTGGGCATTGTAGCCGTAGTAATAGTAGTTAGCAAGCAGACCCATCAGATCATAGAGGCCTTTGATGGGGAGGTGTCGGTCGAGGAGGACGTCTTTTCCAAAGTCGGAGAGCACGATGTCTCTGTATCCAAACTTTGAGATGTCCTTCTCGAAACGCTGTCGCACATGTTGGATGCGCTCGTCCAAGGCCGGCATTGTCTTGAGGGTGAACTCTCTAGGCGCGGCGACGACGCCATTGGCGTGTCCGTTGACCTCTCTTGGGGGCTTGTAGGCCATGATACCTTCAACAATAGCAGTTTGCATCGCGAAGAGAGTCATCGCCTATAATGTGTCAGAAAACCTTGTTTCAAAGTAGATGACTGATAAACTTACATCAATCATTGTGTGCTCGACGTATGTGCCAGAAGTTGCGTTTTTGCACACCACAAATGCGATGGACTTATCAACCCACCGGTTGAAACCATTCAACATCATCATGCTGTTGATTCTGTCCTCTGCATGCGCAGGTTCCGTGTCATCGAGACAGACGAGGAAAGCAGAGGCCTCTACCATGTCTATGGTCTCCTTATTGGAATTATCGAGCTCAATCAAGGCTTGTCGACTCTGTTTTGCATCAATTAGTTCCACGATCACTCATTGCGTCTGCGCAAAACTTACCTCTGCCCATGAAGTGCGATCGTCGGTGCCAAGGATGCTTGTCCAGTTGTCAACAATGTCTTGCTGAGCTAGGAGAGCGTTAAAGATCTTGGTTAATGCTTCGACGGGAACATTGTGATCTCCGTCCATAAGTTCAACCTTGTAGATGTGTCCGCGATAGAGCACCGCCATGTAGTCGTTGCCAGGGAATTTGGCCATTCGATCTAACGGAACACCAGGCAATCGAGCCGTGTTGAAGATGTACTGCCAAAGATCGGTGCAGTTGGCCGTAAACATGTACGTCATGGGCTCCCATCGATCTGATTCGAGGTCCTGCTTGGCTTGGAAGGCGATGCTTGCAATCATGGCTGCCCGCTCGGCTTGAGTGTGGCCCATGTCTCCGAGAGGATGAAATGCCATGAAGTTGTTGAAAGGTGCGAGTGGCATGCGTCTCTGCAGGTACATGCTCTGAAGGAAGTACTTCTCCTGCCAATTCTCGATTGCGGGATCGTGAGCCTGCTCGTGGAGACGACGGTAGAACTCCCGGCCTATGCTGTCCGGCTTCCTGAATTCCACTACATCGTCCTCGATAGTCTTGAAAACCTCGGCGGAAAAGAACATTCTTGACTTGTCCAAGTAGTCGTCAAACATGACGTCAAAGTCAACGAGAGGCATCTTTTGAAGTGTCTTAGAGGCTCGACAGCAGTGGAAGTCGTGGTTGGCACCGGGTGCTATAATCTCGATGGCCAAATCCGATACCTGCTCGGCCGTGGGGGCGTCATCCGTCTCCACGACAGCCGTCTCTGCGTCTTTGGGGACGAGCTTGGACCTGAGAATGATGACCTTGGCCAGACTCAAGATATTGACAGCGTCGAGAACCTCAGATGTCTGAAGTGTCGCCTGGAAGGTGCAAGAGAGAAAGTTTTTCAACTCGATGGCAACAAGAGAGTCGAGACCGAAACTCTCCATCGAAACGTCTTGACTGATTTCTTCAACTGGAACGGCAGTGAACATGGCAAATCGTTGGCAAATGCCGCTGACCACAATGTTCTTGACTTCCTCGGGCGAAGAGGCTTGTTGAAGCAGCTTTCCAACGTCAGTGGCGGCTTCCTTTGTCGGTTCTCCCTCCTTCTCCAGGTAGGGAATCTGGCTGAAGATGGGATTCGCAAGAGCCATCTCATCATGGACCGCCTCCATCGACTTTCGATCAAAACCAAGAATCAGCTGGTGGAGATCATCCTCGTTTGCCTGCGCGCTCATGGCGTAGGTCAAAACGGCGAAGACTTCATCAAACGACATGAGGACTGATCCGCGTCTCATGGCGTCTTTTTGCGCAGGAGGCAGCGAGGTAATGGCCAATGATCCGTCGACCGCACCGAGGTTCAAAGCAATATATCTGCAGCTCGATGCCTTTTTGCTCTGGGCAAAGGCATCTTGGTAGGCGTTACCGACAGCGTAGTTTGATTGCCCAGACTTTCCCAGGATTGCGGTGATGGATGACAGCATGATGAAGAAGTCCAGGGAATCAGACGCACCGAAGGCGGTGTCAAGGTTCTGAGTGCCCTGGACCTTGGGCTTGATCGAGGTCATGTAGTCATCGTGAGACATGATCTCAAAAGGATGATCCTAGAAATAAAGTGAGCTGCGCTGTGTGAGGAGTTGAATCCATAACCGAGACTTACCCTCAAGACCATTCCTGCATGGATGACTCCTCTCACTGGAGGAAGTTTCTCTGCACATTCGGCAGCGGCTAATTGTAATGACTCTCGATCCGTGACATCACAGCACATGATGTGTAGCTGCGCTCCTAAGGCTCGCAATTCTTCCTCGAATGCAAGCTGATCTTCGTCCTGAAGCTTGCGACGAGACAACGTTACCACATGTCCCGCACCATGAGCGGCTAGGAACTTGGCAATCCTTCGACCAAGATCTCCGAGGCCACCAGAGATGACATATGTGCCATTGCTGTCCAACCGGAGAGGCCGAGGACGTGCCAGCGTCAACTTGACTTGCGTCTGCTCGTCGCAGACGAGAACGACCTTGCCGGTGTGCTTCCTCGACTGGATCAGACGGAAAGCTTCCTCGATATTGGTCATCGGCATAGCAGTTATGGGGGCCACAGGCTTCAAGGTGCCATCCGCAAATAATGAGAGCACTTTGTCAAGTGTTTCTCGCATCTTGGTCGGCTTGAGCCGGGCCAAGACCGTCAAATCTACAGCAGCAAATGTGACACTGTTGTCGAAAGGAACCATGCTGATCTCGTTTTTCCGATAAATATCAGACTTTCCGATTTCGACAAAGGTTCCCAGAGGTGCAAGAACAGCAAACGAGTCATGGAGTGATTCGCCTGACAACGAGTTCAGGACGCAGTTGACACCCTTGCCTTGGGTAAGTCGTAGAATGCCCTGCTTGAATGTCCGAAGCCTGGACGAGAAGATGTGATCTGGCGGGATGTTGAAAGTGTCAATGAGCAGATGACGCTTCGCGCTGCTACCAACGGTGCAGAAGATCTCGGCTCCAATATTTTGGGCAAGTTGAATAGCTGCTTGGCCGACACCGCCTGAAGCGGCGTGGATCAGGATGGTGTCTCCACGCTCGAGGCGAGCGACCTCCACGATGCAGTGGTATGCGGTGCAGAAAATGACAGGGATAGACGCACCCACGGAGTAGGGCATGCTCTCTGGAAGGTGACAGCTGAAGTTTCCGTCGATCCTTGGGTGACTAGAGAAGGGCTCCGCGAAAATTCCGCAGACGCGATCGCCGACGCGGAACTTGTCCCCGATAGCAGAGCCCACCTTGCGAACAATACCGGCACACTCACCAGCCATGGTGACACCCGGAATCATCTGACCCATCGCGATGAATACATCCTTAAAGTTGACTCCGTATGCTCTTGCCTCAAGCTCAACTTCAAATGGCTGTAGGGGCTTTGATAGCGTCTCGTCGTCGACGAACCGGAGACTGCTGAGCAGTCCTGGCGTCTCAACCTCGAGTTTGAGGGGTCTCTCTGCCTGTTGAAAAGAGCCAGTTTCCATTCCTTGAGCGTAAATGGCCCTCTTGACCCAGTCATCGAACTTGGCATCCGCATGAACTCTAGGAATGAGGAGCTGGCCGTTGCTGAAGGTGAACTCATCCTCGTCGGATCGTGAGGTGCTGATGGGAGTGGCAAAAGACCTTTTGGTGATATCAAAGATCTGGGACACCAGAAGTTCCGGAGTCGATATAACATCATCTTGTACGTCGACAGTGACGAAACGCATAGCCGCATTCTCTCGCCGCACGACTCTGGCGAGGCCGCTGATCATCCCCTTTGCCGGATTATGGATATCCGCACCGCTATCTTGACAGCTTAGCCACAGCACGCTCTTAGCCTTGGTGACTAGCGAGACGATTTGGGCGAACCTATCGGCACTCGGTGCAGCAAGGATAGGATCTGACGAATCGTCAAGGACAATATGGATGGCATCAACATTGACTGGCTCAGATGACCAGCCATCCAAAGAGCAGGGGAATCCTTGTCTCGTCATACATGCCATGAATGCATCTACAAGAGATGCAAAATGGTCTGACTGGGACTGGGACTGGGAGATGATTCGAATTGACGGGAAATCTTGGGGTGACGACTGCTCCTCAACGGCGGTGGCGATAACCATGTTGGGTCTTGTGGCAGGGTCTTCTTTGTCTGGAATCACTATCTGAAAGCTGTGATGCTCCAATCGGGCATGCCAATCAACTTCTGGCAGGCTAACAACATCCTTCTGTTTACCTTGGACCGGTGATGCGCTAAGGACCAACTTGCCGCGAGGCTTCAAAAGCTTTCGCCAGTTGCTCAGAGACTCGTCAATAGAGCTCGGCTCTGCCTGCAAAGCAATGATGAGGTCGAAAGACTCTTCTGCAAAACCTTGCTGAGTACAATCCTTTGAAGTATCCAACGTCTTGAAGTCGACTCGATCAATCCATGGACGAAGAGAGGCTTTAGCTTTATCCGAGGACTCGACATGGGTGCCGGCGCTGCAGTATGTATACCGGCCAAGAAGCAACCCTTCAGGACGATCAATTGCTTCAAGGAATGGCAGCGCTATGTCGGCTTCGGTCCCTACGCTCAATTCCAGTATCTTCATGCGTGGTTGCTTAAAGGCCAGAAGCTGAAGATACGACACCAGCTGGTTTGGCTCATCCCTTTGCTGTAGCGACGCCAGGAGATCGACATCGGGCTGCCACTCGAGAGCGTAGCTCATCTTGCGTGAGAACGGCAGAACATTCTCGTCCACTGGAGCTTCGCCGATTCCCCGAAGCGCGCCACCGCGAATGTCCAAGACGGGCACCAGTGGCGCACCTTCGGTGACTTCTTCGAATACCATGATGTCGATACTAGCAAACCGGAAGCCTTTCTGGCCCATGGTAGAGCATACAGTCCATTTGGTGCCAGGTTTGCTGCTGAGTTTGCAGTTGATGATCAGGTCATCGATGCTTGTAGGCATCACGGGCCCATTACCAACATCCCTGCGGTACAGTGGAAGTCCGAGTTGGAAGACTGTATCAAGTGAAGCTGGGTGGATGACATGCTCCTGCTGATGCTTACGAGGCATCATACTCTTTACATCGGGGATCTTGATCTCTGCGACGCCTCCACGAGAGCCGATCTGCGCCGACTCGATACCGGCAAATGTAGGACCATAGACATTGCCGTTCTCACTGAAGTTCTTGTAAAGGTCTTCACCGCTAATCTTAGTGTCGCAAGCGTCGATGATGTCCTGGAGGTGTTGGAGGCCACTCGAATTTGCCCTGTTCTCTTCACGGGATCCCTCGACTTCATCCTCCTTAGCTGCCCACTCGAGCATGATATGTCCCGAGCAGTGCTCGTGCCATACATCCTCCGGTGAAAGAGCCATGATACGGAACGTCTCCCATGTACGGTCGGTCAAACTTTTGGCAGGTCTCAGCGTCAGAAGGACCTCTACATCAGACGTCAGTCCGTCGGTGCGTCTTTCGGGAATTATGATCGACTTTGTGAAGGAGACATTTTTCAGGTGGATCTGGGAGATGACACCCTTTATCTTTCTGTCGACGCTGATCTGGCGGACTGCCTCCACGGCCATAGAGAGATATCCGGACGCCGGGAAAATGGCGAAGCCATCAACAACATGGTCGCTGAGCCACGGAAGACTTCCTACGCCTAGAAGGTTGCGCCAAGTGGGTTCATGATGCGTGGTCCCTGGGACCCGAAGGCCGAGAAGATCGTGCGGTGGGTGCGCGCGGAAGCGGTGCTCCTTGCTGAGCTTTGATTCATAGAGAAAGCTCGTGGAGTGATCCCAAGGATAAGGGGCAAGGTCATCAACCAACTTGAACGTAGCCGATTGACTTCCTCCCAGGGTTGCTTGCAGCGAGACTGGATATCCAAACTCGAACAGCTTGCCTGCTGTCTCAAGAAGGGTGATCGCAGCATCACGACCTCGAGACAGCGTGGACAGGTAGCTTGACTTGAAGCCAGTCAGCCCCTTGATGGTCTGCCTGACTGGGCCCCCCAAGGCACCGTGTGGGCCAACCTCGGTGAACAGGGTGAGCGGTGCCGGCTCGATGCCTACGAGCTCTGTGCGACAGAGGAGCTCCAACGCGTTGCCGAAACGGACTGGGGACACAAGGTTGCCAACCCAGTACTGTGCATCAAATTCAGTTGTCTTATGTGCGACGGCAACAGAAGAGTAGAATTTGATGGCAGGGTTTGGAGTGCGAGCCTTGACGTGTGCGATGGAGTTGAGATACTCTGCTGCGACCTTCTTCATGTGATGAGAGTGGTAGGCCGTGTCCACCTTCAACTTCCGGTTAAAGATGGATTCTTCGTCAAGAATTTGCTTGAGTTCGTCGATGGCAGTTTCGTCTCCAGAAATGGTTGTGCTGACGGGAGAGTTGACACATGCAACGCAGATGAGCCCGGTTCTGGTCTGCTCGACGTATTTCTTGACGTCGTCTTCTCCCAAACCCACGGCCATCATAGCGCCTCTGGCCGAAATGACACGGGAACATGCCTGTGACATGAAGCCGCGCCTATATGATATCTCGAGCGCTGTTTCGTGGTCTAACGCCTTGGCAGCATAGCCAGCGGCTATCTCGCCACTGCTGTGTCCTAGAACAAGATTGGGAAAGACGCGGTAGCTCTTGAGGAGGTCAACCAATGCGATCTGAATCGCTGTAGTAGAGGGTTGAGAGATCTCAGCCTGTCCAACTCGCGAGTTATATTCGTCTCTGGAAAGCTCTTCAATCAGACTCCAGTCTGCCCCAAGATCCTTCAGGATCTTCTCTGACTGGAGCATCGATGCTCTAAACACCGGATGCTCTCTGGTAAGCTCGCGGCCCATGGCATGCCACTGAGCTCCCTGTCCCGTGAAAAGAAACACGGAGCGGAAGTTGGACGCCGCCTTGGTGATGCGCGGCTTCTGTCCCAGAAGGCTTGTGAGCTCTTCATGGCTGGCCGCTGCGACACTAAATCGGAACTGCAGCTCTGATCGACGGCTCGACAGAGTATAAGCAAGGTTGGAAAGTGAGGGGGCATCGCCGTGAGCAGAGACCCATCCTTGTAAATTGGCTACCATGGCCTGCAAAGATGTCTCCGATCGAGCTGACAAGACGAAGAGCTTTGGGGTAGGTAAGCTGTCGATCACTTCGACATCGTCTCTTTTCTTTCCGTTGAAGCCATTGAGTCCGTTGGTCCCATTGGTGCCAGGTTCAGGAGAAGTGACTTCGTGCACTTCCGGGTGTCCGTTGGTGCCACTTCCCTCGGTGAAATGCTCATTGGTGTGTCCGTTGGCCTTTCCATTGATGTGCCCGTTGGTTTGTCCATTGGCCTGCCCATTGGTACCATTTGACTTCGCTGGAGCCGGGACTCCGTCTGATTTCTCGTAGCTGGCTGGAGCTTCCAGGATGACGTGGGCATTTGTTCCACCGTAGCCAAAGGAGTTAACAGACACACGGTGGGGTCCAGTAGACTCAGGGAGTGGAACCATTTCAGTAGCAATCTTGATGTCATGGTCAACAGCAGTCCCAATGGGCAGGAAGGATGTTTCATACCTTGATCTTACGCTCCTTTAGATGCAGCGTGGGCTTCGGCTTGATGAAGTCAATGTTGGGTGGGATTGCGCCGTGCTTCAAGATCAGAATGGCCTTGAGCAATCCTGCGACACCACTTGAAGCTTCGAGATGGCCAATGTTTGACTTGATAGATCCAACATATAGACCGTCCTCACGTTGGCCTTCGGGGCAGAAGACTTCTGCAATGGATGATATCTCTGCGCTATCACCTGCTCCATTGTTAGGGTCCGCTTTCGGTGGATAATGGAATACAGAGGGAAGCAAAAGTAGAACGAAGGAGATAGAGCGAATATCACATACCAGCTTGAGTTCCAGTGCCGTGGGCCTCAACATATACAGTATCTGCTGGGTCCAGACCGGCATTCTTGTATACGAGGCGCATAAGATTCGCTTGAGCGATAGGATTTGGCAACGTGAGACCTACTGTCTTGCCGTCCTGGTTCAGACCAGAGTTCCGGACGAGGGCATGGACCCTATCACCGTCTCTCACAGCATCATCAAGACGCTTGAGGATTAGAGTGACAACACCTTCGCCTCTTGCGTAACCAGCGCCGCGGCTATCAAAGACGTAGCATCTGCCATTCGGATTGGTCATGCTGTTACCCCTTCATCAGCTCTTGTTCAACAAGTCACGCATGTATTGGTAGGGGTCAAGACATACCCGACACTGCTCATGGGAATGATCTGGTCAGGGGTGAGGACGAGTTGGGTACCGGCGACAATAGCCATCTTGGACTCTCCTGCTCGGAGCCCATGGCATGCCTGATGCAAGGCTACCATACTTCCTGAACACCCAGTGTCGACCGTACTGGACGGCCCGTTGAGATCAAAGACGTAGGATATTCTGTTTGACAGAATTGCGATTCCGGTGCCGATCATATGAGCCTTAGGCGTCCTTGCTGTGTCTTTGTAGCCCATGCGTTCGAAGCTAAGTGCATATGTTAGACCGAATGTGCCTCCAGCCTGAGCCGACATATTTCCTAAGATACATTCTCGCGCTAGGATGAGGTAAGAACTTACTCGGTGGCATAAGCTCCTACGTGTACAGATGTATCAGAGCCCTTGATACCGGCAATGGTTTGCCCAGCGTTTTCGAGAGCCTCGTATGTCGTCTCCAATAAGATGCGCTGCTGTGGATCGAGGCAGTGGGCTTCATGAGGGTGGACATTGAAGAAGCGTGCATCAAAAGCAGTAATGTCTTGGTCCAAGAAATAAAGGCCCTTGAAATTGACGGCCTCTTTTGCCTCAGGGTCTGGATGATAGAACGCATCTTTGTTCCATCTATCTTCGGGGATCTCACGCCAGCCACTTCGTCCCTCTGAAAGCATATTCCAAAGTTTGGAAGGGTTATCCGAACCGCCAGGGAGACGGCATGCCATGCCAACGATGGCAATGGGACTAGGTGTTGGCTCAACCATATTTGCAAGTGAAAAAGAGATCAGCCTTGAGGGGTAATGGGTATGATTTGACAAGAGTTTCGGCGGGCAGAGAAGGCAGCAAGCCAAAGTTCGAACGGCTCCTCAGTTGATTTGAGCTTCAGACTATCATACAATTCAGACATTTGTGTATGGGGTAACTGTTATTTAACACGAAATCAATACAGGTATCAAACCTTTTGATCCCACACGTATCCCTAGTAACAAGGAGCACTTGGAATCTCAGTTTCCAGGCTGAGAATTTACGAGACCGCAGGAACATAAGCGCTAATCGGAACAGAGTTCGACAGTCCCTATCCGATGACGAATCCTACCGCTCTGGAGATAAGGCTCAAGTATCACAGAAATCAATCTTCAGGAGGGTTGTAGCTAACAGCCTACTGTCGAATTAGCAGCGCGGCTTTGGACTTGACGGCTCGCTGTGCCTCTCGAGGCGGGCCCTAAACCAAAGTGCAAAACTGCTTTTGGAAGACCCGCGATCCTTCACGGCCCAGGCCGTATGATAAGTCCAAGTTGGGAATGCCGAACTGTTGCCTGGTTGAAGATGCAATTCTCGAAGGATTCGGGGGATCCTTCGATGTGATAACGAGTCTTGCCGCCGTGACTTGGTCCCGAAGACTCCGAAATCTGTCATTTCACGCCTTCCTCGTGGTGTTGTGCCAGAATGGCAGGATTCATGATCCCAATGGGGTGACGTATGTATGACTTGCGTCTACACAATCTCGATATGGCGTTTGTGAAGCCTTTGCCAAGTTGTCTGCGGCTCGGCTAGCTAGACGCTGCAGCCAAGCGGCACAGCATAGCTCACTTATATAGAAGTGGTAAGCTTTTCGGCACGAAGATCCGTGGGATGCTTTACTGGCCCCGATGGGGATGAGTCGATTTAGCCAAAATACCCCGCGCCACCAATCTTACATCCTAATTACCCACAAGGCGTCTCGGGCCGACTTGCATACACCTCCTACAGTCTTGGGTTAGAGGTCGGAACCAAGGGAAACTCAGCCGTTGTGTTTGTCTCACCTGTCATCCAATCGTTTATCAAACAAAGTAAAGTATTTGCCAACCATGGAGTTGGGCCAAGAGACGCGTTGGGCCAATTTACCAATCCACCGGTATCGCCAGTCCCCTTTCGCAGGTCCTTGAACCCTTCACTTGTCGATAGCTTTAAATACGTCAAGTCAAGGGTTCCTCCACTTTCTCTCCAGGTTGAAGCAACCTATCCTCGCCCAGGTTCCCCAAGATCCGACATCTCCACGAAGCTCGGTTCACAATGTCGGCCCCCGAAGGCTACATTCCAGGATTCGTCTGCACTCTGGACACATGCTCCGTCGAACAATGGGGCTTCGTCCGCTACCGACCGAGTGTGGCCGGAAATGTCCTCTTCATGGTGATTATGGCCGTGCTCGCATGCGGTCAGATCTTTCTCGGCATAAAGCACAAAACAAAGGGTTTCATGATAGCTATTTGCCTTGGCTTGTTGACGGAGACCGTTGGATACATCGCCCGGGTTCTCTTGAATGGGAACCCCTTCAGCAGAGACTATTTTTTGTGGTACCTCATTACTCTGACTATCGGTCCCGTCTTCATTGCGGCAGCCATCTATCTGACTCTGGGGCGCATCGTCGTGGTTAACGGGGAGGCGATTAGTCGGATCAAGCCTCGTTCGTACACAACGTTCTTCTTAGGATGCGATATTGTCAGTCTTGTTGTTCAGGCAGTCGGTGGAGGCATTGCTGCGTCTACGCCTTTGGATAATCCACACATGGCACGTAATCACTCTTTACCCGCCTACCTACTTTATGTCACGACGATATTGCCGCAACTGTTTCGGAAATCTGTCGCTAACAATTTGGTGTTTCCAGATCGATGTGGGAACAAACATTCTGGTCGCCGGCCTGTCGATTCAGGTTGCTTGCCTGTTCGCATTCACTGCCTGCAGTCTTGAGTTCCTCTGGCGCGTAAAGAAGAACCCAGAGATGCGCAATCCCGAATTTACCGATCTGGTCAACAGCAAAAAATACAAATTGTTTTTGTTCGGTATGTTCTCTGGCCAATTTCAATATCAACCGGGCCTATGAAGCTAAAGCCTTGAAGCACTCTTCGGCGCAACAGCATTCTTGTTTATACGAACTGTCTTCCGTTCCGTCGAGCTCAGCGAGGGTTTTGGTGGAAAGCTTGCCAACCAAGAGGTTGAGTTCATGATTCTTGATGGGACCATGATTATTCTAGCATGTTTGTGCTTGACCATTTTCCATCCAGGGGTTGGTTTCGGAAAAAGATGGAATGAGGCTAAATTCCGATTCCGTACCTCCAAGGCAAAAATCAACCAAGAGGAAATATCACAGACCATCACTCCTGGTGGCAGCGAAAAGGTCGCGCCAGAGACGTCTGCAGAGAGGTTGTGAACTTATGTCGTGGGAAATTACAACCGCTTCCAAATTGCAGAGGCATAACGAGATCGGCATGGATGTTCAAACTTTCCATATGGAGGAGATAAATACTTTTCGGAATACACAGACAAAGGGAATGTATGGGGACTAGTCACAACCCCGCTGGCCTTTCTCACACAGTCTCCTTTCTTCTCTACTCAAGTCACGATTGCGTCAACCTGGTTGCCTGACCTTCATCTATGTGTCTCGCTTAAAATCATCAGACCGGTTTCATGTAGTCAATTGAAAACAACGTGAAGCTTTTGCCTCTGTGACAGCCCATGATCCCTTCGGTCGATTATTCATCCTGCTTACTACTGCGATGTCATACAAGCTGGTTGTCATATTACAGATCTCTCAACTACCTTAGTAATTATTACACGAGCTTGTGAAATGATCGAAATTGCAGACATAGTATCAAATTCAAGATTCCAGTCCCACGACTCTACTTCAACAGAACATGGACGGGCTTGCCTTCGGAGGCACACTTGTAAATAGCCGATACAACACCAAAGTTGAATTCGAGCCTGCTCCTGGACAGAGCAACGCTATCGCGTCCCTCAAGCAAGTCAACGAAGGAGAGAAAGGGGCGTTGGTTCGCGTCCTCCCACCCAAAGGCAGGGAACTTTTCCTCCCTGGCGTCGACTTTGCCGTTTCCGTCAACATAGTGCACCAGTCTGAAGCCTTGCTCCAACTCGTCGACTTCGTCCTTGTAGTCAAAAGTCGGAACCCATTCCCACGTCAGACCACCAGATGTGCCATCGATATTCAGGGCGACTTGAGCGTCCCCATGAAAACCGCTGGCTCGCTCCCAGTAAAATGGAATGACGGTACCGTCCTCAAGTGTCAAAGTCAAGGACGCGCCAGCGTGTGTCTCGACAGAGATCGCTGTCCCAGACGGGTCAGCTTCGGTAGTTGGCGTGGCTAACCAGGCATGATTAACCGTGGCAGCAACAGGACGGAGGACGTCGAAGAACATAGTGATATCGTAGACGCCCCAATCGAATATGATGCCCCCGCCAGACTTCTCTTTCTCCAGAAACCATCTGCTCGACGGTTGGTACTCGACTCCCGCGCGAGCTCTGGGCTGGCGGTTGATGAAACGGGCGTGGTAGATGGAGCCTATCCCTCCCGTCTCGATCAAATGACGCGCGCGGTCTAAGGCTTTGTTTCCAAGATACCGAAAGCTGCACTCTCCGAAGACTCGATTGGCCTCATCACTGGCGGCTAGCATCTCGACCATCTCCTTCTCGGATGTTGCCAGCGGCTTTTCGCAGAGAACGTGGCGGCCGGATCGGAACGCGCGCAGTGTTGCTGCGTGATGCAAGAATGGAGGCACAGCTACCACGACTATGTCGCGCTCTTGCCCCGGTGAACTGGCAAGCATTTCCTCGGCATCTTCATAAATAGTAGCGTCGGGAAACTTGGCGAGCAATGCTTGTCGAGCATTTTCGGAGGGGTCTCCAGCAAAAAGCTGGACATCACCGCCGAGGCTTCTCGCCGCGACGCCATGTCGCCATGCAATAGAGCCAGCGCCGTAGAGGTAAACTCGCCAGGCTTGAGGCATTTCGTTGAATTCAGACATATTGAGAACGTTTGTTTGACAAAGAAGAGATTGTTCGTTGACACTGACATGAGTTGCTTGGAGAAGGGGCATTCATCACCAGGCCATCTAGCATGATGGCCGTAGTCGGTAGCGGAAAAGGAAAGTCGAAGTATCATGCAAGCCCCGCCAATCCTTCCTCCTGTATCTTCGGGGTCCCTAGAGGCTGATTGTCTCGACTTTACCCTTCGCGATCCTTCTCGATCCTTCCCGTTTTCAGTACGGGACGCCTCAGGACTCAGGGGCCGGAGACGACGGGCCGTCAACTTGAAGATGGTGGCGTGCCCCTGAGTTGTAGGATCTGACCGGATATGGTATTTCTGCATATTTGAAGGTGTGTAGCTGATGTAAGATGCAACACTTGCCGTTCCGGTAGAAGTGCAAAAAGACTCCATGTAAGGTACCACAAAGCTGTACGCGCCGCCACAATGCAGTTTCCAACGCGCGTACGATGAAAGGATCTTTGGTCTATCACACTGCGTTGACTTTCTGTTCGGGATATGAATGCGATTGCATCAGACGGACCGCTTGTCCGGGGCCTGAAGTAGAACTATCTTACTCTGATCCTTCGGATAATGGCAGCCGCGCCGCGCAATCCTTCGGGAACTTGGAGCGATGCTCCAGGTCCGCGACAGCCCGTAGGAGATTTAGACCTCAACATCGCTCTAGCAGCAACGAGGATACGTTTGTGTTTGATTTGGTGCTTATATGACGTTGGAGAATGCATGTATCGATGCTTTGCTCTGTGATGGGACGACCAAAAGCAACTCAGCTTCAACCTGCCTGCCTGAAGTACATCCTTGAGCCTAGCATTTTCACCACTCCTCAATATGGTCGGAGTCACAAATGGCAACAAGCCTAGCAAGGTTCTCAAAGTCGGAGTCATCGGTCTGGGAGAGCTTGCGCAGGTTTGTCTTACCTCCGAACTCACACTTCCGCAGAGTCTGACAATTCCCCAACACAGGTGTCTCACATTCTTGTGCTAAACAGTCTGTCCACTCACTTTGAGATCAGTTACATCTGCGATGTTTCTCAGCAAGCCCTTGATCTCTGCGCGAAAAAAGTCGCTGGCAGTTCACTCAAGACCACGTTAAATGCTGAAGATCTGATTACGTCTTCTGACACGGACGTCGTGGTCATCTGCAACGTCAACGCATTTCATCCTTCACAAGCGATCCTAGCTCTTCAGCACAATAAGTACGTTTTCGTGGAGAAGCCTCTAGCACTGAACTACCGCGATCTTGATGCCATCATCGCTGCGGAGCAAACATCGGAGGCGAAAGTCTTCGTAGGATACCAGAGGCGATATGCTGAGTCTTTTCTTGATGCTGTGAAGGAAGCGGGCGGGATGAAAAAGATTGACTATATTCGGGCCAGAGGTATGCTACTGTTCCACATGTTGAAAATGACAAAATGAGCTGACACTGGACAGACATCATTGGGCAAAACAGCTCTTTCGTAGATCAGTCTGGCACATTTCCCAAGAAACACACCGACTATCCGAAGCAAGATACCGCGGAGATGAAGTCTACCGAAGAAGAGATGGTCAAAACAGCGCTCATTGACGAATTCGGAGTTGAGGCAACGCCAGAGTCAATGACGATGTTCAGGTTGTTCACAGGGTAGGTCACATTCCTAAGCCAGATCGCCCCAAGTCGCGGTTCCTTCTCGCTGACCTCTCACGCCTACCTCACAGACTCGGTGTTCATGACTTCTCTGCCTTGCGCGAGATGGTCGGCATGCCCTCGCGAGTCGTGGGTGCCTCCCTTGGCCTGCCAATTTTGAACGTGTTGTTCCAATACGAAGGCTTTCCCGTCATGTACGAATCCGGCATCATCGACGTGCCGAGGTTCGATGCTCACCTCGAGATCTACTCCCGGGAGAAGATTGTGCGCGTCGACTACGATACCCCGTACGTTAAGGGGCTTCCTGTCACTATGACCATCAGGGAGAAAATCGAGACTGCCAAAGGCGATGGTTACCAAGAGAGAATAATTAGGAAGACCTATGAGGACCCCTTCACTCTCGAGTTCTTAGACTTCTATATTTGTGCGACGAAGAAGACTAGCCCGAAAACTTCGGCTGTGGATGCGCGGGAAGATTTGGACTTGATCAAGATGATCATGCAGAATGTCTATTAGCGCATGTACTTTTGAGACTTCAGACATTTGCGAAAACCTCCTACCTACCTACCCAATATCAAGGTTCATTAAGTGACGAATAATTCCGCGACCCAAATAATTACTGTTAAAGATGGGTACAATGTGATTAGATATCCAATTAACCAGCTTCATCTCCCCAGCAGTGTCTCACGCCGGCAAGGTGACTTCAGTTATGATTCTGTGATGAAGATAGGCTACATGTATTGCCATAGTCATAGTCGCAAATTTGTAAGGTCTTATCACCGTGGCCGCAGATTCCGAACTTCTCAAGCAACGCAAGCGTTGTCGATACTTCATAGACGGTGATGCCGCGACCCTTCAGATATTACAGCGCCAATTACCACTCATTGAGGTGACGCCGGTTACCCGATCGCATCGCCGCGCCAAGCCCGTTGATCTGGTCTTGACATTTCTCAGATTACTGACTACAAGACCTTTTTAAGTTCTGCTTTCTTTGACCGTTTCTTCCGTGCACATATCAATCTTATCAAAGGATACGCCTTTTGCACCGAAAGCAGTCAAGTCTCTCCAGGCATGCTAGGGAACAATTACGGAGTAGACATCACAAGGGTAGCTGGCCCACTAGCCGTACGCGACGGGGAAAGTAAAACAAATTATCCCACAGCGACTATGTGGGATTATGTTTACGGACTCGCCGCTTACGAGTACCTCGTCTTCCAGCCCTGTCAAGTCGATGCTCATGACAGCGTTGTCAACTTCGTCTATCCTAGCTTGCTCGTCAACTTATGAAATTGTCTTCTCCGAGAACGAGGGAAACCTTCACTAATTACTACCGATAATTTTGGAGTCCTCACAGCCAATCGCGTCCCTATTGGAACACTAATAACTTGGTATTTGGGGGATTTCTAAACATACTAGAAAAGGTCAGGCGAGCCAGATCAATTGTCTCTTTCTTGATACTGCTCGGTATAGCTCCGAATGCATGTCCTCAGTAGTAGACAAGTACCTTGCCTTGGAACGACAAATGACCTACATGTCAGAGCAATTGTGTTTGATCCTTCTTGTATGATGCATGACTCAGTGCAATCCTAGCAAGAGGATACATCGAAATTGGGTGCGGACAAAGGTGGTAGGCTTGCTGGCCGGCATGAGTAATGTAGTATGGCCTGTTGGTTAGACGAGTAGATCGACAGATGCCGCTCTATCTCAATCGTGTATCATGAGTAATACAGTAAGGCCGGAATTTCCATGCAATTTACTGAGTAAATACATGTACATACGACTTAATCGACAGTGGTGCGTCTGGACTACTGTCTGCTATAGTATGGTAGGTAAGTACTGAATTATTTAACAGAAACCAGAGATCTCTTGCAAGTTTCTCCATCTCCATTCTCCATTCTCATTTCTACATCATGAAGCTCACTGCCGTCCTTTTCTCTGTCAGCGCCCTGTTCCTGGGCTCGGCTAATGCGTGGTGGTGCACCGACTATGGCAAACAGGCTAATCACTTGAGCTGCAAGGCCCTTTACCCGGTATGGTAGAACCGGACATCGCTGGATCCTCTGTGCAGGCTTCGACTCAACTTTGATTGTCTGCTTAGGAACGCAATACCTTTTGCTGCAGCGCAGCAGAAGGAGGAGACCGGGACACTTGGAGAGGAGACTGCATGTTGGCGGATGATATCCCCTGCGGTGACGGTGGTTTTGAGGGTTGCGTAAGTGATTTGCAACTTGCGAAGAATGAAAAAATATGAATGCTGACATATTTTTCCAGTGTTTGTAGAGAATCAGTCTTTGTGGATTTTCGGGGATATTTTGGCCGTATTATCTGTAATTTTGGATAGCTTGGGATGCCTCGAACGTCATCCATTTGAGAAACCATATGTCCAGCGAACACCTACCATTCTAGACTTACGCTATCACAGAGTAAAACATAGCTTACTATGATCATAATTCATCACATTTCAGGCTTAGCTTTAGAGAAATGTGATCTATACGCAAGACCTTGCATGTGTGTAGTCTTGGAGACGAACTGGTCTTCAGCGGTACGTCATCGGCATTTCCGTTTTAGGCCGGTCCGATCACCTCATGCCCGGCAGCCCCACCGTTCAATGTGTTGCCAACCGCCGCCACGCAAACCCAAGCCCGTCGGGTTTTCATCTTCACGCCGACAGGATGCTCAAGCTCAAGTTCGTCAACACCACGAATGTTCCTGTTCAGAAGCGTAAAATTGCGTTGCATGCGTGTGATACCTGTCGGAGACGAAAAGTGAGTCAAGCATTCTGCCCCTCCCCTTGTAGGCGAAGTCGGAAGAGAGACTTGAACCTTGCCGGGTGCTGTTCGGGATGCCGCACTGGTGACCAATCGGAGTGCGGACTCGCCGCGATACCTTCCCTTTCTGGTTGAAGAACAGAGTGTTGACGGATCTACAGAAACGATGTGTTCATCCATTAGGGGAAGGGGAGTCTCCGCCTCCGCACACTGTTCACTGGAGGAAACGGGGCCATCCACCGGGGCCGGCCGCTTCCGCCGAGAACGATTCTCCGGATGATGCGACCACAACGCCGATAGATCCGTCTCTGCAGTACAGCCCGAGTATAGAGGAGGCTGGGGTATCGGATCCGGGTAACGAGGCCGTCGGCGGCGATTATGAAGACGATGCCAACGACGACAACCAGACAGCTGACTCAATTCATGTTGCAAACTCAGAGCCCTCTACCCAGAGTTCAACGCTTCCACTTGATCAGCCCCGAAGTCGTTTCGTCAACGTAGAACCTCAGAGAGGAATTACACGACCTAACAATATCAACACGGGACCTCCCATTCAAGGCCAAGTACCTTCAGTCGGGACACCGGTAGTTCCCATTGAGACCCCAGCAATTAGAGCTACAGGCTCAACAACTCACATCTCGAGTCCTGAAACCAAGGTCCAGCCAACAGATTCCGACTCCAACCATAATGACGACAGATTTGTAGGTGACTTGAATCCGGAGGGTGCGTTTCTAGCCGATAGCCCCGCGACAAGTCGCGGTCATGCCGAGTCCAACGCCGTGGGCGTCTGGTATTCTCGCAGAAACAACGGCGATAGCCTCACCCCCGAACTTGCATCGGCAGTATCGGTAGACTATGAGGTACACCAGTTCCTCGCCGTATTACCTAGAAAGGAGAGTTACGACCACCTTGAGAAGATCTATATTCGAGATGTTCACCGTATCCTACCCGTCATGAATCTCGACATACTCCAAGCGTCAACATCAACGATATCCCAAGTTCTCTGCAAACAAGTCATATGCCTAGCTGCCGGCTCGAATCCCAGCGCCAGGCCTTACCTGACACTCGGGCAAGACTCATCGGCAGTCTTAAGCTATTCAGAATTCGCCCTCCGTCTTTCCTCGGCCATCCGGAAAGCACTCGGCCTTGGCCTAGTCAAGGACCGAGTCCAAGCCGTCGCCATCATGGTGATTCTCTCCCTGTACACCCACTTCTCGCAAGACCGCCATCTGTCTGCCGAGCTGGCGGCACAGGCCGTCAGCAATGCCCAGACAGTGGGACTTCACCTCCAAAATCCGCCGGCGAGGTCTGAGGATCCGGCGTACTTGACGCGGCTATTCTGTTGTGTGTGGGCCATGGATCAGCTCAACGCCGCTTTCCACGGACGACCGGTGATGATACACGAAAGAGACCTGGGGCGTGACATGGAGGAGTGTCTCCGAGAGCAAGACAGCTGCTTCCGACTCTTCCTCGAAATTGTGGTCTTGCTCGGGTGTATCATCGACCTGTATCGGCCGGCAGTAAAGAACACGGGCTGCGTTGTCATGGAGGATTTCCCAAGCTTTGATAGCCTCGTCGAAAAGACACACGCTCTCGGCGTGGAATCCCGCCTCTTAGGTAAGTTTGGTTCAAGTACAAGGTATATATAGCTGAAGCTGATTGTCTCACAGCTTCCATGGAGCTTCTCTATCACGGCATCGGCATCTTATCATGTCGGATTCCTGTTGGTTCAACAAGATCTGAGCACCTTTCACTAGCGCTCAATCGACAAGCTCTCTCCGCTATCAAGATTACAACCATTATTGAGGACTACGGTAACTCACTATCGCATATTACTTTCGTACCATACGCCGTATCTCTATCCCTGCGGGTCGCATATCGAGAACTACGATCATCCAAGGTGCCAATGTTGACGGCAAGATCCCGGTGTCAGCTCCAGTCAACCTGCAAGACGCTCCGTGGAATGGGCAGCATGTTCAGGTCTGCGCAGGTCATGGTAGACCTAGCCGAACAAGTGATTCAGGAGATAGATCAAGTCTGCACCAACGCCTTGAATGAGCAGAACGCGGTTGGTTCAACAAATGTGCCAAATACCCCTCGGCAGGACCAAGCAGCACCACATGTCGCACCCGCCGTGGGCTGCAGCAATGTCGATGACGGAAACCACCCGCCAAACAGTGAGCCGATGCCGGTCTTTGACCCTTCACTTTTTGAGGGGCCTGCAGGTTTCGATGTTTTCGAGTTCTTCGACCCCGGCGATCTCAATGCGATCGATGCCATCTTGGGAGGGGATGCTCCACCAGGCATTGGGCCGATGGGTTCCTTTATTTGACCTGTTTTCCGTTCGAATCAGAATATAATTCACCGAGCCTGCTGGAGGCTAACATGGAGTTGTTTGCCACAAACGACTTTACTGCGTGATGGACTAGACAAGCATCTACGACGATTATACCCTTCTTGAACGTGGAATCTTGCCTTCAAATGTATACCGCAACGCACAAACGCGTCCCTATGTACGCATATCGTACATTCGCGACCTCTTTCCTCTTCTCGGACTTTTCGCTCAGTCGTCTGTCATTCAAAGTTGACTCCCTCCAACTACATATCCGGCAAGCAATTCGGAGATGTAACTCCGAAGTCTCAAAGGAAACTCCCCTAAAGTAGGATCACTCAGCCGCAAATCAAGAAGCTCAACTTACCCGTGATCTAGCAATTTCTAACATTTGGCTAATGTGGTCCCAAAGCCAGTACCAAAATCCGCAACGCCTGGGTTGCATTTGGATAAATGGCACTTGCAGCTCCTGCCCGTTTCGCATCGATATTAACGCCTCTTTTTCCATTGCAATCACCTTACCAAGGTTATCTTCTCTCATCAACCGCCATGTGCCTGCCATGCATGCATTCAAGATATACTCTAGGTTCTTCAACTATCTCGTGAGCCGTAGGCAGATCTTCCAGTCCTGTTACGCCACATCTCCCCTGTGGCAACATAACATTTCACTTATAAAATCACACTTTCTCTTTTTTGCTGCTCCTAGCAGACTCCTTGCCGGAGTGATATGATGAATTCTACCTGAGCAACGTTACCAGTACCGTCATGCTGGCCTACACCACGATTCTGCTCGGCTTCGTAGCCTTGAGCCACGCCGCGCCTCAATTCACGATAGGAGATGGCTCTACAATTCTCGTTCCTGGTGGAGGGACCGCCTCACCTAACCCAGTTGGCCCCATCCTACTTCCTCCTATTAACAGCCCGGAAGTCAGGCCTGGTAAGCGTGATGTAAGAAAACTCCCCTTCTTCTTGTCTGCTCTTGATCCTGTCCAAGTCGAGATACCCCTGATACCAGTTTGAATCTCCCTGACTTTCTACACAGCTGGGCGAGCCTAACCTCGAGCGCAAGTCGTCTTCATCTGGTACGTACCACGATCACGATCGTTTCCAGTGTGGTGCCAGATTAATAACACGAGAAAGATCTAGACTTTCCTCTGGCTGAGCGCACGGAAGATCTCAACGCACTCAAAGAAACATACTACACTCTCCTCGAGCCCGTCACCCAGGGAACTAAACCCTCTTTCGGAACTTACATGGTCCTCCTACACCTGGCCGACATTCTGGCGAGCAAGGGAGTTAAAGTAGACACCATCACCTTGGGCGACGCCACCACCATCTTCAGTCCATCCACGAACACGAAGCGTCAAATCTTTGAAATTGGCTCTTGCAAGCCGTCCGATGTCATTGGCCTCCGCGCAACTCTCACGAGTCTCATTTTCATCTACGGCAACACCCCGCCCTTTGAGATCTGGAACCTCGAGCAGGCCATCATCGCGGCGCTCAAAGCCTGCAACGAGGATGTCATTGTCGGTCCCATCGTCCCAGACAAACCCATCCCCGGCGGTCCCCTCGTTCCGGACAAGCCGTTCCCGGGCGGGCCCATTGTCACTCAGTCCCCGGTGCCTGGGGGTCCGATCAAGCCAAGTGACTAGGCGACAGCCTCGTCAAGGGCATGAGGCCAAAGTTTTGAACAGACGAGATGGAAGATAAGGTTGTGTGTTGGCCGTGCACGGTGGACGCAACGCAACTGTACCTGAAAGTCCGGATCCGAGAAAAGTTGTGCGTAGGGAAATAAGGAAACACGTTGAAGGGTTGAGGAGGAAACCTTTCCGCAGACGTTGCTGTATGCTTGTCAAGGTGTAAATGATTAACTTTGCCATGTTATTTCATTCAGAAATGCCTTTTCTTCTCCTTTTCCAAGAAATGCTTGATTGACTTAAGCTCATGGTTCTGAAATCGTCATGAGAATGGTTTCATATTTGCTGAAAGATGGCATCAATGCGGCCAGCCCTACGAAAGTCGAGAACCCGACATCGCAACCCCCATTTTGGTCTCTTCTGACATCTCCGAAGTCCGCGACGAGAGATCGAACGAGGAGATTGTATGTAAAAGAACGACAAGACAAGCCTTTTTTAGCCATCCGGTCTACTTCGTCCAGACGTTGAGTTCATCCTCATCTCAAAACAAATAAGAAATCAATGAGACGGGTAAGAGATTCATCTCATAGTCACCGGAATGAGTTGCACACGAGTATCAGTTATGGTTCCCGTGCGTCGCAGAAACACCGAAGCTCCCGACAAACCTCACGAACAAGGCCGGCCCATCTACGAGACAGATATGTCATTGTACCTGAGAGACATCCCACGACGAGATGTTTCGACCCAACCTATTCCCCATATATCCTCGCAACCCTAAAGACGTCCATCCCTGATCTCGCCGGGTCTTGCTACCGGACCCTGTTCTAGAAGAAGCGCATGATAACTCAAAAAGACCCCCGGCTTGCCGACCCCCGGGCAAGCTGTCAATGTTTCAACACCACGGAAGCTATCTCAAGTGTGGGAAAAGAAAACTCAACCTTATCCCGCGGAGTCCCCATCTTCTGTCCTTCTCTCTCCCGAGATTCTCCGATTTCGGACTTGTGGACTGAAGTCTCCGAAGACTCATCACGAGGACAGCCAGCCCTGCCCATCGTCCGAGGTCGTCCCTGGACGATGACCTCAAAGTCAAAAGATTCTACAGAGAACGGGAATCCCTATCCTCGACGGTCACGTTTCACACGAAACTCCCGGCCGAACGCCGGCCATCGTGCCGAACGAGCACGGAGCAAGGCCGTAGGCCGCAAGCCTTTTGACATCGGTATGGAAAGCCCTAGATCCCACTAAAAAGCTTACCCGTCTCCGTCCGGCCGTAAATCCTGGATAGTGGTGGAGTTGACGGACGCGGGAGGAGGTTAAGGTAAGCCACCACCACCACCATAGGCAATTCTTCCTTCTCGGATTTCCGAAAACGATGTCTTCGTCTGCCATCTTCCCTACCTACACCCAAACCAGAAAGCCAAACTTTCAGAGTGCGCTTGCTGCCACGCTGACAAAGACGCCCGCAGGCTGGGGTTCCATCATCCATGTGTAGCTTTTTTTCTGGCGCTGCAAACGGATGAAGCGGGATACTATGCCACGAGACCTGTTGCGACGCTTCGCAACGCCGTCTCTGGCTCCGCCGGGATCAGGGACATGGAAAGATCTCACGAACCGGCGCCGGGGGCGAACGAGTCATTTTTCACCAAACAAAACGATACCATCGCCGAACCATCGTGGCCCCATCACGATCGTTTCCTCTCTCTCCCCGCATACTCTCGGGCCCATGACATGTTCTCTCACCCTAGACGCCGCTAGTGTTAACATCACGCGTTTCTCACACCGCGGGAAAGCCAAGACACAACGGATGCGAACACCCATCAAGGGATCGTGGCCAAAGGGGGAAAGCAACAATAACATACAATCGACATGCCTTTCACAACAAAGTGTAAACTTTCCCACACCTGTCGTTGCTTGGGCTTATTGCTTGCGCTCAAACCCATGCCAAGCCAAACTCCATCACCCTCCCAAATCTACAAACACGCGACTTCGGCGCCTTCCGCGACGAACGCGTGCTTGCAAGAAAGCAAAAGCGTCTGCCACCATCCACAACTCAATCCATCTCATAATCCCATCCCACCACCTCTCACTCCCAGCAAAAGAAGAGACAGAGTTTGGATACCTTCACTCCGTGGCACACCAACAGTCGGATATGACCACGCCGTCACGGCGTGGTCCTAGCGAAGAGCAAAGGGTGCACCATGACTCGTCTCGTCATGGTGGCCCAAACTCTTCTTTTCGACGCGCGCACGGGAAAAAGGGACCCTGCCATTCAATACATTTGTGCCAGAGTTCACCTCGACCGTGATGGTTCCTGGAAGTCAATCACGGCCCTTGATGGCAGATGACGACCTGTTGTCAACACCACAGGACGCCGTGCGCGTAAGGATTCCGCTGTTTATTAACGGTCTGGTTATCGGCCATAATTGTGGAAATCCCGCTGCTTGATGACTCAAATGAGGCTCTCAGACTCGTGGCCTCTGCGGCGTCTGGCGTCATGGTATGGAGATTTGCGAATCCCTCCTGTTCCCGGTCCGTGCCAATGCCGCCTATGCTTCACAGCTCGTACGACATATTGGCAGGGCATAGGGGTCCTCTCAAGCCACATCCAAGCGGATGGGAACGAAAATCGTCATCCTCTCCATAGTTCATGAGACCGGCCACGCAGATCAAGGTCTATCCATGTCCATCCCAAGCTTTGCCCTTCCCCTTGCGTGAAGAGAGGAAGTCATCAGAAGTGTGTAAGAGCACTGCTCACATCGCGGCTCCAGACACTTGTTCCAGCCAACTGTCGCATCATGTTGAGATGGTGTGCCAGAAACGACTTGTCCGCCTCGCAAAATCACCAGACGGCACTTACAAAGCAAACTCGTGGTCGATCTTAAGCAACCACGCTGCCTACTATAGTGCCTTCTCTAACAGCTCAACAGCACATACAAGAGCCAATATGCTACCACCCATACCACCTTTCGCAAGCATCGGAATCCCTTCCAAGCTCCCTCTCCCCGTTGTTTTCTTCGTGCATTGCCCCGTGCTCCCAATAGTGAACCCCCGTCCCCGAACCCATCTTGATGACGCCCGATGCCAAAGCACCTTCATTTCTTGGCGCCGCCGCCAGTGACACACACACGGAACCGAAGCTAGCGTCCCCCCCGCCCGTAGCAAGCGATTCTCTGTCTCGTGTGTCTATGAGCAGGGGCCCGGACCTCTATGGCCTTTACACCTTTGGCAACTGGTGTGTAAGCCAGTACATTCGTGTGTGACCGCAAACGGCTTTGCCTGAGCCACATCATCAATACCATCGCTAATCTTCCCAGCCATTTGGATGTGGCTCCGCCTCTCCGGCCGCACGGAGTGGATACCGCGGAGTGGAGAAGCTCCTTCGACGCCGTCTCTCGACTCGGGGAGCCCGCTCACAAAGCCGCCCGCTCGCCGGCGCGGAAGCGCTTAGGTCATTTGACGCCCGCTAAGTAGAAACCGACCGCTCCCGGTCCCTTTTCCCAACACACTCAAGGTGCCAGAGGGCGTCGTCGTGACCCACCCCCAAGAGCCAACAGACGACCGTGCCAGCTAGCCTAGTCTAGTGCGATGGGCAGGGCTTGGTAAACACTAAGGAAAGGAAGAGGCGGCACCGTGCGCCGTTCTTCGCTTAGTGGTGTCGAACCGGTTATAACTCGGAAACAGAGAGAAAGAGGGGATCCTGTCGGGTTATTTTCCTTCGGTGATGGGGCCTTTCCCGTGATCCACGATTCGTCTTAGCTTGGAGCACGGATACGAGACTATTGACAATGGCAAGCGACGTGGACAGCGAGCGGGCCAGGGGGGGGGGGGGGGGGTGGGTGTCCTTCATCATGAGGCTATGTTTAAAATGGTTAGATGCTCACCAACACGGGCCCTTCATTACCAATATGCCGTCTTCAGCGAAATATCAGTAAAGGTGGCACGGGTGGGTAGCGGTGGGAGGGGCGTTTGTGGCAGATGAAGAACTGCCGTGCTCCCCCATATCAAAAAATCATCAAACGTGTGTAGCTCTGTGGTTAAGCCACCGCCCCGGCCACATCTACGGATACGACTTGAGGCTTTCTCGCCCCAGCCACGCACGCCCACGACAGTATGATCGTCAAGGCGGTCTTTTCAGCTTCTCATTCCCGGCCGGCTTCAACTTTTGGTCAATGCCATACCCTCGGGATGCCAATCTTTGTGGCTTTCCATTGGTCAGACATTTGGGGGGTCGCTGCGGGAATGGCTGACACCGGGCTCGGAGGCGGCTCGGGTTCTTGACCTCATGGCGCTGTAGCCTATTGGAAGACATCAGACGGCGGCTGTCAGAGGGGCTGTGCATAGGGTTCAGAAACGCTCGAGGGTTAGGTAGACGCAGAGAAGGTCTTCAGGTACGGGCCATGGTGAGGCAGTCGACGTTCGAACGCTGGAGCTGGTGCTGGATATCCCCATTTTGTGACGGCGTACCTACGTGCCTACTTACAAGCGTAGTTTGACCCTCATATCTTGGAGCGTCTAGCGAAAGAGGCTGACGGACAGATCGCGATATCTTGGGATGACATTTCTCTCTGCCAACTCCCAGAGTGAGGCCATCATCTCCCACCGGCTCGTTTGCAACTCTGTGGTGCACATTGATGATCACTCGGCAATCTTGGAACCGTTCAGACCTCGCGTGTTCATGGATCGCAGATCTCGAACTCTACGCCCTAGAGTGAGACATGGCAACACAATGGCACGATGAGGCACGAGGAAGCGCTACTGACGAACGATGGAGTCTGTATCCGTACATTGATGAATTTCTCGTACCACAATTGAGTTTTGGCCGACGCCGTCAATAGCTTGCGGTGAGTGTGGCACCTTGAACGTGGCCCCATATTCTCCCATCCATCGTCCATAACCTGAACTCTCAAAATCTCGAAGTTGGACGGAACGGGCAAAGTGTCTCTCGTTCGCAGAAATACTACTAGTCTCACTTAGAGAAAACCGCGTGCTGATGTCTCTCAATGTGTATCTCTCAGAGACTCTCTCTTGTCTTTCTCTGCCACGCCGAAGATCTTTGCCCGAAACAAGGCCCGTCGTCCAGTTCCTGGGAAAAGGCAAAAAGCGTAAGCCCGCAACACCGGATGCAGAAGCCGGAAGGGATGGGCGGGACTAAACGTCGTTACCTCTCTAGACTCTCAAGCGCCGCTGTCGTCTTTGGGGATCGGGACTGCCATGTGCAATCGGGGCTTTCTGTCATTTGAATAGTTCCCCCTCCGAGCTAAGACGGCAGAGTCGCTGGTTGGGTGAGCGGTTCGGGGCCATGATTGGACGGCAAGTCAACGAACTAAAGAACTGCGGAACGAAAACGACGCAATGGGCAATGCGGTCAGTGTCGAGATGGGAAAGGTGAGTGAGAGTTGCGAGTCGAGGGGCATTGTTCTCCTAGCCTAGAGTGACAATTGATGCACCAAAGATAGTATCCAGACTTGATGCGATCCACCACACCTTGATATCTTGACAAGCGTCTTCCATGCTTAGTATTCGCCACTTGGAGTCTTGGGAGACAGAATGAGAGGCTCAGTGCCAAGTTGATCGGCTTTTTCGGTAGTGACGGCACTTCTCCAAGTTTCTGAGTCGTTCGTGTCGTTTTCAACCCCTCTCGCTCCCACCCTTTGCCCCTCTCCCGTCGACAAAGTCCCCGGCCGTGCGAAGCGACTCTTTACGGCGGGACCCCGAAGCCGTAACGTTGGGAATTATCAACGAAGCTTTTGCCACCGGGCGTTGGGAAGGGCGGCCTTGGCTGTGTCCGATGTGTTTTGAAGATCTCTCGGCGGTAAAGGGGAACAACATCCACGCGGCGATCTACACAAGATCGCGATCGTGACGTTTATGGTGTCGTTTGCTACGCCCTAGAGACCAAGGTGTTCCAGTTGAACACGGACAGTTTGTAAGCGCAGCACTTTCAGATGGACACATCTCAGGTTGTCAATTACAGTCAACGGACTCATTGTCGATATCGCACCCATGAGTATCATCCGAGACCACATTCTCCAAGACCCTAACTGCCTACTTAGGTAGGTATGTGATGTCTACCTATCCATCTATCGAACGGTGGACGTCGCGACAGGGAACGTGCGCAAACGTGCGAGCTTGTCCTTCCCACGCGAGTCTTCGAGAGATGGAGACACTTGACGTAGTTGATGACTGATAGCTGCTCAAACCACGCACTACAGACTTGCGCGTCCACCGCACCGCGGTTTCCAAGACATGATGATTCAAAGTAACTCCTCAAGGCTCACCAGCCAAGCTCGTTCTCGCCTGGCCACCCGCGAGCCTCTTGATTATAGGCACACTGGCACAAGCCCCCTCCTCAACCCCTCACCGAGAGACAAGACGACGCCGAGAAGCAACAACTGCCGTGCGTCCTTGCTTCCGCCATGTCTCTCAGTCTCTGTGCCTCTGTCTCCAAAGATGACGCCTAGTATCACGTATCGAGCATCGTACCAACGGCGCGCGCCCTTGGCAAACAGCCCACGACTCTTCAGTGTGTGTGTGTGTGTGTGTGTGTGTGCGAGTGTATCCACCAGTTCGGTTTCTGCGGCCGTAAAGACGCTCACTCAATGCTCATTGCTGGCCGTTCTCCGCATCTCGATCTGCAGCTATCCATCTCATCCCTTGATCATCTGCGCCCCCCCCCCCCCCTCTTCCAGACTTCCAGAGGTTTCTCGAGAACGCAATATTGAAGCCCCCCCATCCGTTAGATGCGCCCTTCTTCCTGCGTCCTTTTTTCCATACTTGGGCAGAAACCCGTCATGCGCCATGCGCAGAAGCGGTCTAAGGCCTAGGTGTCATCCGAAGATTATGTGCCAAAGTGGAATAGGGCGTTGCAAACTGCTGGACTCTAGTCCCCCCCCGGCCGCGCCGCGGGAACGTTTCCCGAACCACTTCAACAACTACCGGCGCAAGATGGCGGGGGGCCTGGAAAAGCGTAGCTCGCCGCCAACCCACTAGACGCAAGTGCAGGGGGGGAGAAAGGAACAAAAAAGACCGCAGAAGCCAGCGGTGGTGCCTGTGTAGACTTGTCATGATCCATCTCTTGTCAGTGGCTCCGGCTGTTCGTTGTTCGTTTGTCTCCATCATGATGGAAGCTTGGAACGATGTCTGGCTTATCGCCATCATGAATTGCGGGGAGAGAATGTGACAACGCTCAGCTCAATGCAGGCAAATATTGAGAACCGGGTTCCTCCCACCCAATCATATTTAGGAAACACCTTTTCTCTGGCACTGCTGCATCTATCAAGCCACGCTGTATCCCCGAAAGATCTGTCCATCTTGTGGTCGTTTTTCCCACCTTGTCCAACTCGAGCCAGGGCCTAGGCCTTTTCCTCACCGCCCCCTCCGCCCCCCGTCCGCTTGCGGCTTGCAGCCAAAACCCGGCATATCGGTTCCCCATCAACTGACTTGTCACGTCTGCAAGAAACGAAAAATGGTTGCAAGGGTTTTGCGAAGGGCCTCAAAGCAGGAAACCAACCGCTCCTCTACGTTGCCGTGGACCGTGAATCCTAGATGCCTTGAACCAGTTTTGGACATGCCAAATCCGACAGTATGCATCCAGCGCATTGAAACACCGGCAACTTGATTGCTCGATATCCAAAGAAAGAACAGGAAGAAAATACCTCCCCACAACGACGGCTACGAGGAACCCAAACGAGCAAACAGAGCAGGGGCCGGATGAGAGAGCGACTCGCCAACTGTGCCTTTCCAATGATCGACACCGCAGCAGAGCAGAAATATTGCCTCTCCCAAACGTCCAAACCCTGCCCGTTACTTTTTTTCTCTCTTTCAACCCCCAAGTCCAAAACGCGGTCAAACTCTGTCACAAGTCAGACGCAAAACTTGGCCGGAGCTGTCAAAAAGACAGATTAAAAAAAAAGGACGATAAGTTGATAACCCACAGTAGGCCGCAAAAGAGTTTGTAATCGCCAACCGGGGAAGAGCCCGCAGATATACCAACCCGCCGACCTATCAAAAAACCGTAGAGACAGAAAGAGAGAACCTAGACTTTGGAGATTGGTTGACAACAAGTTCTGTACAGAGCCGACCGAGGAATGCGAGTTGCTCGCTTATTTGGGTGTTGCCTACGACAATATCAGCAGATCTTTCAAAAAAGGAGTGCTGTTGTTCTCCATCAGAGACCGACCATGACAATGCCACACCGCATCAAACTCCACATCCACCCTACACCATCAATCCCGGGGTTCCGTTGTCGCCGTGCGCCGCCGCCGCCGTCGCCGTCTCCGTAGTTCCAAAAACTCCGGTGGATGGCACCACAAACATGCTGCGGCCATGGGACGGTATGGGGCCAGCAATTCGCTCGCAACGCTCCGAGACTCGTAGTGAGTAAGTACCTAGCCCCGGTAGTCAAGGCATCCAATATCCATGCCACTTATCACCTCATCATACGCAAAGGTTTAACCACCCACAGGAGTTGAAAGCTGCCAGTACCCGACCAGTCAGAACCCCCCGTGGTCCGCGGCGAGCACTCTGTCCATCCACGGCATATTAGAACTCCTCTGGACATGCATCTGCTTGCTGTAACGGCCTAGTGCAGCACGGGAAGTCAAGTGACTCAAGCCACTCACAGCCCACCGATCGTGGGTTAGGACTCTCGGGCGAAACTGGCAACCAACCCACCAACCCATCAAGAGAGTTTCCAGCCAGCTTTACTCTTGGCCAACTCATCTTTTTTCTCTCTGCCTTGTTCAACAAGTGAACTTGGCCTTAGTTTTCCATCGTCATAATATCCATCACATTAAACACATGGCATGCTAACCCATTCCGGTTCCTTCTTTCAAAACATCCTTTTTATTTTTTTATTTTTATTGTTTTTTACCTCTCCCATGATCCCGCTTGGCCATCCGACAAGACGCCTCCTTCTGCTGGATGGGCGCGGCGGGAAGCACGGAAGTGTAAGCCAGACGACATGTCATCCCAAAACTCGGTACACTTCCAACTGGAAAAGGGAAGCACTTTGGCCCCATCCTTTCATCCATCAGGCCACACCGAGACATGCTATACTCACTTATAATAGCACATTCGCCTCAAAAAAACAAAAAAGTGTCCGTGTAAAGTCCAGACCTCTTCCAGTTGGCTCACGCTTCAGTGCTTCCACCCACCCTCATCGCAAACAGGGTGCCTGCATGCATGCCCATCACGATGGGATTCGCTCTCGCGACTTCCCATGCCATGCTGTGCTGTGCCATGCCGTGCCCATGGCCTCTATCCAGGCCAAGCCGGTTGCTTTCTCCACACACACGCTTCCATGCCCCAAACCACACAACGCCCGATGCGTCCCTACCTTACAACCCCATCCTCCGCCGTGCCGCATGCGTAATAAGGTGACAACGGCGCAAACAGCCCCCCCCCCATGCAAGTCCACCTCACTTTCTCTCAAGTTTCTCTCCGGGATGGTTCCCCAACGTTGGGAGTTCGAATAGGAAGACCCGGTTGGATACACTAAAAAACTCCGCAACCTTTTTCTCCCCTTGGGCTACTGTCCGTAGATTGGCTGGTCAATACTTCATCGCTACTTGGTGATCACCCCCTTTTCATAGTTATCTAAACCAAGTATCTGGTCTCCGTATCCGTACACTACTGTCACTACATGACATCGCGCGCGTCCCATCCCGAACCCTCCTCTAGGCTCTGCCCCCAGTCACCGGGGCACGAGCCCGAATCCGACCAAGGCTCAACCTTCTTCTCTTGCTTCTCCGGGGGACTCTTCTGTCCAAAAGCTGGTGACAATCCATGACCCATGCACCAAAGATGAATGCCCAGGTTGGCACTGGGCACTGTCACCTAGTGCTCCAAGGAAAGAAACAGTAAAATAAAAAATATTAGCAGGGCCACCAGGGGCTATAATCGTCTCGCCCTAAACCCTCTTCGTAAAGTCGCAACTCTCTCTTCAATCCCCACTCTAAACCCAAAGAGGGCATCAACCTTCCCCTCCAGAGTCCACGGTAGGGCCGACCTACGGTCCCTAGAACAATGAAGAAAGAAAGAAAAAGAAAACCACCCATAATGTACTAACCTAGGCAAAGGACAGGGGGTCAGGATTGGAGCCAACTGGGGATACTTAGACAAGACAAGACTTGGAAGGGGAAGGGACCATCTCGACGCAACTCACCCATACCACCCGCACCCCGAAAACAGGGCGAACGATGACCGATTCCCACATCTTTCCCAAGTGTCCCACCGCCCAATCATGTTTGCAGCCCATCGCGGAACCAGACAGCGAAGCGTGCGAAAGCCAGCCCCCCCCTTTCGAGAAAATGGCACCAGCGCCAGTGAACCACCACCACCACTAGAACCTCCGATCCCCCTTCGACAGCCCTGTCTTTTTCTTAGACGTTGCTCACATGCTTAGGTAGCCACGAAAATAAAAGAAGAAAAAGTTGAAGTGTCTGATCTTCACTTCCTCCTCCTCCCGCCCCAGTGTTGGAACGTGCGTCTTCCATGGGCGATGCAGTTGCCGTAGAATGTTGCACTTTGTGCAGTCGCTGTTGCAGGTAGCCCCCCATCCTGTCTAGCTCACATCACACACTCTGCATTTCTCTTTCGGTCACGTACACATATGTCTTCCTGCAGATATGCAAGACCGTAGGCACTCACAACATAGTAATAAGCCTAAGCAAACCAAACCAACCAAACCTCATCATCCCTCGAGAGAAAAAAAGAAGAAAAAAAAGAGGGTGCTGAAGAAAAGACGTCAGTGGTAGAAGTGAACACCTATTCTCCCAGGCATGTCGCCCGCTTGACGTCTGTCTCGCTATCTCACACTAAAGCCGAACAAGAGACCTTCTTGCTTCTCGCTGCACCATGGCTCTTCCTTGAGACTACAGGAAAGCCGAGCCAGCCATGAGGAAGGGAATGAGGGCACGGGGGGTTCGCATTTCCTACACAGGAGGCATGCTGCTCCCCCCTTCGCGTTGGGCGGGTGGTTTTAAACCCCCAAATACAGGGGAGACCGTAGAATACTGAAGTAGGGAATAACCATCCCTCAGAGTTGTCAGAGACTCGGGGAAGGGGGTTTTCCCTTTTCCTCGTAAACCCTGAATGGAAATATTCGAGACGTTCTGGAAGAACCGTAACCGAACAGAAGGGGAAAGAAATGTCACCCCTTTTTGAGACCAGACATTGCGTAAGGGAAAAAAAAAAAAGGGTTATAGAGAACCACTAACTACCTCATCCCGCCGCTTCCGACACCTCCCATCTTCATCACCTTAGCTAAGCACCAAGTTTGGCGCAAACTGGCCGCACTCAACCCGAGTTGTCTTCGGATGGAGTAAATCAACGTCAAGAGAAGTGCTAGACAGTCACAAATGTGGAAAAGATTTGCATTTTGGGGGTGTCTGAATGTTTGTATTCGTTGGTAGGGACCAGTTTTTCCTGGTCGTTGTCCCTTAGCCCATACTCGTTTTCTGGGTTATTGTCCCAGCTCGAGTCTCAGTTCAGCGAATATTCGCCTACTGTTGGGTTCTTGGCCCAGGTATTGTCTAAACCATCTTGTCCTCAGCTTTGAGTGAACTGAATCCCTCTCTCCTGTAGTTCCTGTAGTGGTCCAAACCCATCCCAAAAAAAAAAAAAAAAAGAAAAAAAAAAGTGAAGAATCTGGTATCATCCAACCGATTGCCGGAAAAACTGCCCAGAGAAGGCTCGTTTTCCCTGAAGTGTTTGCGCATCGATGCGTTAGAATGGAATGTTCCGCCTCCAGAAATATCATGAACAAAAGTCCTGCCTCCTTGTCTGTATCCCCTCTCTGCGCCTGGTATGCTTTCCATAATTTTCGATAACTTTGAGACACTGTCCACTCTTGCTTTCCGTTTCCCAACTCCGCGCTGAAAACATAGAAAAGAAATAACAAAAATGAAACAAAAACCCGCTCCGACAAGTTTACAAGCGCCTTTGCGTAGACAAAATTCCGGTCCTTTTTTTCGCTAGACTTTTGGATGTTCCATTCCGGGGGTGTTAATCCAAAAGGTAATGTGGCCCACGTAACTCGTAACGAATTAGGTATCCTCAAGAATGGCTTTTACTCATGGGATGAACGTTGATTAGTTGGTTTGGTTGATGTCGCCATATCCCCCGGGACATATGGGATTGGTAGATGGTCCCGGTCAAGAATTGGCGTAACGGATATATGTTCCTAATAGCAGCCTTGGGGGTGCGAGAAGATGGGAACCTGGTGGTGGAAGGGGACGTGAGGGTGAATAACAGGAGCCTGCTGAGCATACTTCAACACATCTCCCCACCAGAACTGGACAAAAGACTTGGATGGACAGCTGGGCGCTTGCAGTTGGGCCTGGACGGGAGCCGGCGTTGGCACAGGCATCTGGACACGGAAGGATTCCGGTCCAGCAAGCTGCGATGGTACGGGGCCAGTGTACTGTTGAGGAATGAAGTCCTGTGTGGGAAAGAATGTTGCTCTGGTATCCTCTGATTCGTATGTTTGGGCATGGCATGCCATAGTCTCCTGCTGCTCCTGAAGGAAGTCCTCATCAAGGTCATCGATGGTCGAGCCACTTGATGTGAGCGAACCCTCGTCAGACGAACAGGTAGATCCCTCATCCGAGGAGGACGAGGCGGGTGAAAGGGCGTTGTCGTAGTCATCGACAATCGTATCCTCGCAAGTAACGTATTCGGTAATGTGCTCGTGCGAAACCTGGGTAGTCGAAAGCACAGCTGTCGGCGTCGCCGGGATGGTAAACCTGGAGCAAGCCTGGATTCTTGCCTTCAACTCGGGCAATGTAATCCTTTGATCCGGGTTACGGGTGAAGATCCTCCCCAAGATGTCGTTCAGTTCATCCGACACGGGGAGAATGCTCTTCAGGGTTTCCGGGCATCGGGCGTAAGCCCTGTAAGTAGAATCCTCAAAGGAAGCTTGCTTCCATGGGTTGCGTCCGCAGGTCAGGTTGACCAAGATGACTCCGAGGCTCCAGACATCATTGGGTGCGCAGAAGTAGAAAGGTCTCCGGGCAGAGTGGTCCAAGCATTCTAGAAAAAAGGGAAAAGCGAAACGTTAGTGGTGATCAAGGGATATGATAGAAGTAGAAAAGTTCCTGGGAGTGGATGGCCTACCTGGACTCATGTAGAATGTTGAGCCGCATCCGTAGTCCTCTGACCGGTCGGATGAGGTTGCGAGGCCAAAGTCGGCAAGCTTGACTGTTGATCCCTGGTCCGACACGAGAATGTTTTCCGGCTTCAAGTCTCTGTGGTAGATTCCGAGGGAATGGCAGTGCTCCACGGCATCCAAAACTTGCAGGAAGACTCTCTTGGCGAGATCATCGTTCCCGACATACTGACCGCACTCGGTGATGTTGAAGAACAAGTCACCTTCCGGGCAATATTCCAAGATTACATAGATGCAGTCCGGGTCATCAACAATCTTGAGCATCGACACAACGTTGGGGTGGGCCGACGCCAGGTAGTGCAGACGAATCTCCCGGTTCTGGAAGGCAACTTGGCGACGATCCAATGGGGTTCCATCTGGGTTGAACTTGCTGAGGCACTTGACGGCGTAACGGACTCCAGTCTTGACATCCACTGCGGAATATACGACGCCATATGCGCCAGTCCCGAGGATAGTTGTCAATTGCAACTTGCCCTCAAGAAACCTTCCGAGTCTCGCCTCCGGTGTTAACGGGACATAGCGTGCCTGGCAGTGAGGTGCTGTCGTGATCGGTTGTTGAATAGAACACTTTGTGTTGTCGTACACCGGCGACGCGGGAGGGGTGGGATAGCCAAATCCTGATACATGCTGCATGTTATGTGATTTTTGCGGGTCCAAATGGGAATCCTTTCTCTGGCGGTCTGTAATGGGTATCGAGGGCGAGATCCAAGGGGAAGAGAATAAGAAGAAAACGTAGAAATGGCCTTGTCCTTTGGGTTGATATGTCCTGGGAATCCAAAGAAATAATCCTGGGTTATTATCCTACGGGCCTGATGGAGTAGTAGTCCTATGGGAGGTTCCGAGGAAGTAGAAAAGGTCGAAAAGTGCAAGACGTCGAGTCAACGAGTCAAACACACGTGTTGGTCGCCTGAAGCGGGATGAGTGGTGAGGTGAGTTCGGTGAAGGTCGATATCTGTTGAGGCGGAGGTGGAAGGGCGACTGAGGTTCCAGTTTCCCGAAGATCGTGGAGAGATGTGAAGAGGTCGACGGCAAGGAACGTGGTGGAAGAGTTGATGATTGAAGTCTCAAAGTAGGTTGGGCCAGCTGTACGGTGGTGGGATATGGGTGGTTGATAATGACTGCCACCACCCCGATGAGGAACGAGGCGAAATGATGTTAGCGCTACGGCTACGTACCCATGTCGAAGTGCGTTGCGTGGAGCATCCACCATGGCCGGTGGCTCCAAGGACACCCCAGTCGTCTTCGACATTAGCAGAGCAGGGATGAGCGGCTTGCCATGTCTTAGCCATGGATCCACCAATGCACCGTCTATTCTTGAGTTCGACATGAGCAGCGGGCCAGTGGGTTAGAGTTGATAGTAGAGCCTGAGGCCTGAGAGCATGGCTTGGAGCTAGAGGGCCATGGGGGCGTGGGACCAAAGGGGCGTGGTCGTGTCGAGGTGTGGACGAGTGACCGGCAGAGTTTCTCTACTGGAGCAGCCACCAGGATGCCACTAGCAGTCGTGATTGGCGTCTCTGCGCAATTTACGAGCAGGTATTGTCTGACGCACCTAAAGTGGCCCCGTCCCAAGGGGGTGTGAAGTGTGAGTGGGTGTGAGTTGTGTCACTCCTCACTTTCTCGTGTGCTGATTCTTATCCACCACCCCCAGCCGTGCTCCATATACCCCTACCACCGCTACTGGCTGGGTGTGTCAGACGAAACGGATGGTCGATGGGTGTCGAAGAAACGGGGCGTGTGTGAGTCGTCGCCTCCCAAGCACTCATGGGACGACCCTGGCCGAGGGAACACAGACTGTCTGCTGCTCTACCCTTCCCTTCCCTTCACTTCCCTTCTCAGCTTCGCGCTGTCAATCGGGAAGCCCAGTGCCTTGCTGGTGACTGCTCTGTGCTCTTCCTGCTCTGCTCGCCCTCCCTGATGAGTGACATTGAGTGAGCGCCATCGTCATAGGCTTCCTGTGACTTGTGATGTGCACCTCTTTCTTTTCTTCTCTCTTCAACCTGCCCCTGTCTCTCCTGTCGCAGGGCGAACGTGCCCGTTGTGCAGGACCACTGAGGAAAGCCTCACGCTTGAACAGAATCCCCCTTGGAGGAACGTCGGAACCAGGCATGGATTCGCAATCGAACGATGATCGAATGAGACACGTCTTCCTTCACCGCGACTTGGGAGCTTTTGGCCTGGTCTAGCGACGTGGTATGCTATGGCTTGTTGCAGAGCCCCGTACTTTGAACCACAGCTATCATCAATGCCGCGTGGTTCATGGTCGAGAAAGACGCTGCTGACACCGGATAGAGCTGGTAGCAGGTCAATCTGTGACTACCGCCAAACACCGACTGTGAGCGGGCGACTTGGGATGCCCAGACACAATAATGCCACCCACGACCTAATTGGCTCACTGTCACGGTCTCGTAGCTGACGTTGGAGCCTCTGTGGCGCTTGGCAAGCTGTTTGCATGAAGTCCGGGAGTTGATGAGTGTGGGCTTCGGTGGCCGGTCAGCCTTTCTGTTGCAGATGCTGCCTCGCAGGCTGGTGACTGGATCAATGCTGAACAGATTTGGCTTGGGCTCACAGGATGCCCGTCGCTTCCCATTCAGCCCTCTCGGGAGCATTGATTGGCTTCCGTATGTTTCGCAAGCGGTCATCCTCCACCTTGTGGCCACCATGTGGCTGCACCAAACTGCACCACACACACTCTCTCTGAGCAATAATTGCGTAGTGTAGATCGCCCGTAGCGCCATGATTGGCTGACAAGGCCACATACGACCAATCGCCTGTTGAGACGCGCTTGAGGATGCTTGCGTCAATATCATGACTGCTAGCAGCATGAGCCAATGAATAGTGGTCTGCGCAAGCGACTATCATAGTAATTGGTGCCGAGCTAAGCATTCTAGGTATATGGTCGAGGCAATACGAACAGCTGGTCACGGAGTAGACTGCATAATAATCTTGCCAAACAATCAAGGCGGGTTTTTCACATTTGCGGGTGCTCTGTTGTGTGCTGGCTGGCTATGTCTGCTCAGTGCTGGCTGCTGGCGGTCCGCGGCTTGACCCGAATATGGCAACGGATTCGTTTAACGATGGGAGGTGATGGATCGTTGCGATGATATTTTTCTTTTCGGACTGGTTGTGGGCCGTCATGGCCGGTCAATCCGAACCTGTCTCATCAGACCAGAGTGTGCAGGCAGAGCAGCCAGCCAGGACAATCGACACCAGATGTGTAAGAGCGGGCTCAAGGCCGTGGGTCGAATTTAGCGCTGTAGGCATCGCTCAGATTCCGTACGAATACCTAGACGTGGGAGGACACGGTAGCCTCTCTGCAAATGATGAGCTGCGGACTGTGCCTCGAAATTCACGGTCAAATCTTGCCATGTCGGCCTTGGTTCGAGTCCCCGTGGTCAGCTTGACCGGAGACGAAGCAGCGGCAACTCCAGTATCTACGGAACAACAAGCGGAAGGACAGGCCTGGACTCGGTGCGTGTGGAGTCTCAGGGCGGGCGATGGAGGATTCGGTTTGCCTCTAGAATGGGCTTTTGATCCCGGCCAGTGACGGCGGCCAACGTGGTCATGGGTCGCACATGGGCCTGAGATTGCGAACGACCGTTTGAATGGACGGGCCAGGATTGAGTTCCATGAAAAGAAAGTGGATAAGCAACCTGAGCGTGCCGAGCGCTGAATGGACGAGCAGAATGGTGTTGTTGTGAAGTTGTGAGTATTTTCTGTCGTTTCTCTGCCGTACCCTTGAGCCAGGAGACGCCAGGCTCGGTGGACGCCGCAACGCTGCGTTGGTTGGCGCGTGGTGCATACGTCTTCGCAGTCTGCAGCAAGATGCTGTACGTCTATATGGCTCGGAGCGGTAAACGGGCAGAACGGGGAGGGTCTGGCTGGGGTTGATTCGCTGTCATGGACTCAGGGCTGCTTGGGGTTGAAGCAGCTGTGCCTGAGGCCAGGATTGTGTGTCATTCTGGTACTCCGTTGAGCGAAGCTGGTTGTCTTGAACGTCGACAAGGGTGGCCGTGGTGCAGTAGAAGGGGAAGAAAAAAAAAAAGTGTGTGGTCTGTGTGGTGCGCAGAGGCAGCTCTTGGAGTCTTGTCATCATGTGCCGTTCTAGCGTAGTCCATGGGCCATATGTGCGTGCCACTGGCCAGTCCGGGCCATTCGAGAATGGGAGCAATGCAGAGGCTGCAGGCGAGCGAGAGCAGCCTCGTAACGACTTGATGGGGCCGCTGCACAGGGATCCCCGGGCGCAAGCTCCCGACGAGTGAGGCTGTCGACGACGGAGCTATGATGGATCATGATGTGAAGGGGCCCATATAATGGTCTGCAGAGGCTGATCTCGCCAGCCCAATAGGCAATTTCGGGCATCCAGTTGTAGCATAGCGCCCGTGGTTCGCGATGCAGTGTAGCATCGTGTGAATGAACTTGTGAAGTCCCAACTTCAGTGTGGCCACCGGCAAGTTTGCAAGCACAGCTGAGCAGAGCAACCAGCGCGCCCCTCCCAGGCTCTGGGTTTCGGTCCAGGCAGGTCTGAGTCCCGATTCCACGGGCGTCTGTCTCTTTGATATCCGTACGGTGTATTCGTACCGCCTGGCGGTAAATAGATAGTGGGACGGGGTTTCGCTCAGGAGATTGGGGAAGCAGACTCATCGACCATGATCCGCATCTTCATGGTGGAGTGGCGCGCTATGATGCCACTGTTGAGATTGAGGCTAGTTGATCGGCGGCGAGCTTGATGTGACTATGTCAGACTGGACATTGATAGGGTTCTCTGACGTGTGGTGAAAGTGGTGATGTGCAGCCAGTCCCGAGCATGGTGAGAATGGTTCTCCGGATGGTCACGGTGGTTTGCTTGTCTGTGCGAATATAGACTGCTGCTTCGTGACGAGCAGTAGGCAATCGCGAGTCTGTCGGTGCTGTACTTCGCAAATGTGATATGAGTCGACATCAAACCGGACAGGGCTTCTCGATTCGTCTGCGTTGACCGTGGATAATGGGTTGGCATGTTTGGCATGTTTTGGCCTGCACGGTTGAAGATGCGTTGCCGCTGCGCCGTCAGGAGACCGAGATATCCGAGCACAGCAAGCGCAAGAGTAACAGAATGTCTCCAAGCGCGTCTACGACGTCCAAACGCAAGACACTGTCTGTGATGGACAGGACTGCAGCATATCAAGAAGCAAGACGATGTGCAAGACTTCGTACTGCAAGGGGTGAGGACGAAGGCGATGACGAAGGTGATGACGATGGAATAAGAGCAGATGCTGGTCCTTCCTTGATTCTTTTTTGTCGTTGGAGACTTGAAGTTCCTTCCTAGGTTCCTTCCTTCCCGCCCCGCCCTGTCACTTCCACAACCAATAACGTGCTCACTCAGCCCACCTCAGTAGCCGTCGTGGCCAATCAGATAACAAGGCGCCACATCCAGTCTGAGGCCACACGTGCAGGAAGGAACGGGAAGGAGAGGAACTTAGGAAGGAAGAGGGAGTGAAAGAAGGCGCAAGCGACTGCAAGTGGGCCACTTTGTGTGGCTGGTGGCTGGTGGCTGGTGGCTGGTGGCTGGCTGCCTCTTCAACCACCGCACCGAGGCCACCAGATGCTTCCTTGGAGTCAGACCTCAACCAGTGGCTGCCTGAATAACCCTCATTATGCCTCAGGCAACACGTCTGAGAAAAGAAACAAGCGGTCTGCACGCAAACTGCAGGAACTGCATCGATCACGGATGACACTTACCGGAGCCGGGCTAGCGCATCTGTCAGATCTCATCGTCCAACTCGTTCCCTCTCTCCACAACTCTTGGTCCGCCTGTCCAACTTGAATTCAAGGCTCGCAGCTCGGTCCTTGGTCCTTGTCGTCAGTCCCTGTCCACACTCGTGCTGAATCTCAATCTCACCCTGGGAATATCATCCCGACTCTTCAAATCTCTGCGACGCTACGCTTCGGAAACCCCACGCTCTTTTGCTCTCTGCATTACACGTATGACCGACCGGGTGACTCTCCTATACTAGGTGACTAGTAAACTACCACGTTAATACGCCGTGCTAAGAGCAGCGGTTCGCTTCTGCGACATTCCCAAACCTTGTTTGTCTCTCGCCCTTCCCATTCCCAGTCAGGGCCAACTTGCCCAGCCCGGTTCTAGGCGCCAAGTGTGTCCGCTACTGCAAACGAGAAACAGTCGGGCCAAGCATCGTGGCCAACATCATCAGATGGGCAATAGATCCAGAGCCAGCAACGAGAAGAACAACGATGTCTACGAGCAAAGGGCGCCAACTATGCAGGCTGAGGCAATAGCGTAGGGAGAGATGATTACGGACGCTCAAACAACCATGGCCATCGCCTAAGGCTGGAAACGGGACAAACGCCCATCAAAGACAGAGCTGCATACGAATGCTTCAAGACCAAACTCGAATAACAGAGCTAAGCTCGCTCCAAGGCAGATATTCCATCAGCCGCCTTCTGCTACCAGACACTACAAGACAAGTATCGGCTGCGTTTCCTTCGCCGGCACACTCTTTGGAGGCTTGGAGCAATAACATCTTCGAGTTAATTCCCAACCATCCGAATTCCGTCCCACAAGTCACATTGCGAATGGCTTGAGCACGCACGTCCAGCCGCTCGAGACAAGCTCGCTGACGCTCCAGCCACGGAGTCTAGGGAGAATGTGGTCGTGGAACCCATTTGATTGGCGACACAAGCCTCAGCTCCGTCTGTCTGTGTCCCGGTGCAGGGCAAAGGACCATCAAACTCACAGGGAGCTCCCAAGCGAGACTCGATTGTGAAACGGCAGTCAGCACGCAGGGCCGCCGCTCTCCGGGCTCCCTCGTCCGCTGCTGATCCTTCAATCTAGATGAGGCAAGATGCCGCTCCGTGTTCAAGAACAAGGCTGCACCGAGCATCCGTACGAATATCCGCCCTCCACAATACCTTAGACCTGGATGCTGGTGCGCATGCTCAATCTCGGCTTTTCTGGGGGCGCCTTTCCATTACACTCAAACAAATGTACTCCGTAGTGTGCGGATGCAGCTGTGGTCTTCGAAGACTAGGTCAAGGAACGGAAATGATTTCATTGACGACGATCCCCGAGACCATCACCAAAGCCTTTCACCTTCCCACCAACACCATGCTTGCTTTTTATCGATATCGTTGATGTCTAACACAGTCACGCTGCAGACGCCCGTCAAGCAATTCTCCCTGCGTCCCCCGCAGACCGAGACCTATCCGTACCAGAACAGATATGGCGGCATGGCTTCATGTCGCGCCATCACTGCATCGTTCTGAGCTGACTTACTTGAGTCAGCCAGACTGTAGCAGTGCATATGGTTTGTGGCGGTCGAAATCCACATACCCCGTTGCATGGGCAAGGAGCAAGCCAACCAATCCGACGTGGCAAGGTCGTCAATCTAGGCATGCGCTCGATTTCACGCAGATTAGCGCTCATATTGTCTTGGCCTTTCGGGATTAAGCTCGCTGCCGGAGCCACGTTGTCGTCTGTGCTCTGAGACACAACAGCTTGGGGTCTACTTCTTCGTCTCTGATTCGCTCGACATTCTAGACGTGGTTGCTCTCCAAGAGTCTCCATGCGGCTTCTATCAAGTTCTCGAGACTAGCTGACTTTTAGTGGCTGTTTACATCTCCGCTGGACGACGGAGACTTCAGCATCCATCCCCGCGACCGTAGTCTACCCATGGGATTTTGCGAAGGAACGTTTCCTCATCTCAGTACTGGTGATCGCATTCGAACTCGAGAAGAAACGCCACGTCCTTGTTGGAAGGGGCTCTTCCCATCGTGGTCCCTACCTAGAAACACCGGCACTGTTCGATGTACACAACATAGGTACTAGCATCCAATCTCGCCTCTGGACGACTGCTGTTGGGGATTCATTCAGGGAATGCGCGCGCTTGGCTTGGAACACTGATTTGAGGCACTTGGGTCACAGAGACACTCTGTTGTCGTGTGAATTACCTACACCAAGAAGCCGGCCACTGGATTGAGTTTACCCGACGCGTGAGTCGGCGTGGCAAGCTTTGGCATGCGTGTAGTGACTCTCGGAACGCTTAATTACTGTGCCGATGCAGGCGTGCTGGACCAGCTAGACATTTCCCATGGCGGACTGAGGAGGTATTCGGAGCTTGTCACTCGGCTCTCCAGGCAACCCCGAAATCAATAACGGACGCAACCGAGATGGCATTCCTCGGCAACGTTGTTCGAATGATCAAGAGTCTATGGCATTCCTTGCTCAAGAAACCACGCATTCTGCGTCAAAAGACGATATTCAAAGTTGAGATGTGGCTCATGTCGTTCTCCGCTACATGCTTCGCCTCCGCGGCTGAGAGATCACGAGATACACAAGCATGGCTCACGGACCTGAGACTCGGTCTACCACATACTTGCTGCACCATCAGGTGTCATTGTCTCTGGTAGACCGGGGCGGAGGAGATCCCCCACGGTCTTGCCGTGCAGCTTGCTGGGTTCCACGTTCCCGCTCAAAGTCAAACTTTTGCATGAGGCAACTCAACCACACATCCAGCTGCGCGGGCGCGGCTTGCTTCGTGAAGACAGGGTTCGTGGTGACCGCCAAAGTCACCTCAGCAATCCGATCAAGATCCAGCCTTGTCTTTCTCTTTTTTCTCCCTGCCTGAGCTTGGACTTTTTCAGTAGTCCGATGTTGTTCGCAACGCACCTCAAACACCCAAGACCAGGCCAACCTGTCACTCACGGGGCCGATCTATTCATGCGATGCCCGGCTGCCCGGGGCTGCTTTGAAAACGTAAGCAAATCCGCCGGCGTGGGTTCCAATCAGGGCGCCCGCTTGGCTTTCCTCTTGTTTGACGATGCCCTTGTCGCTATCCGTACTCGCTAACCTAGGATGGATGGCACCCTGGACTTGTGCATCTTGAACTCTGGACGAGACCACCAGGCCTGTAGGCCTTGGACACACACTACGAATACATACGAAAGTGCGAATAGTCTCTGCCACAACAGCGACCCGCAGCGCAACCTTGCGAAATAAGCCGATCATATACACACTATCGGATACGGAACTTGGGCCACGGTCAGGGCCTAGCGCTCATCAAATCATTCTGCAACTTGACTAAACAAGGGTAAAACGCTGCGGGACGTTTACCACATCTTGCAACGTATTGCGTCGTGTTAATGAGGCTCTCCTGAAGAGGTGGGCAAAGGGAGACAAACGCGGCGCTAACGGCCGCCATAAGGCGATAGACTCGAATCGCTTAACAAGGGTTGACCGAAATTCGACGGTCCGCCGGTGAGATGGAACTTTCTCGGAAGCATGTTGCAACCTTGGACAACGCCCGCCCCGTCCTGAACCACATGGCAATTTTGTTCTCCAAAAAGCCAAGCACATCCAGCGAACGCAAGGAGAGGGAAGACCGTTGTTTGCTGTGTGACAGAAAGCATGCGCTTGCTTTTTTCCTCAGTGCCCGTCGTCGGCTTTCGGCTGGCCAAACTTCACAGCGGCAGTCAGTCGTTGTACTCCGTCGTCGAGTTTACTTCTGCCTCTGACAATTCCGCACCCACGCAAGCCTATCCGCTTGCTTTTGGATTGCCGAGCAGATCGCAATTTTGCGTCCAGCCGAGCACTCGTAGTCTGACCGAAGAAGCAAAATGTACGGTACTACGGATAGTATCCACGACTGTTGGACCGTTGATGACCGGATTGGCGCTGCAGCCAGGGGTCCATAGTCACACCGAGGGATCCCGGCAGCTTAGTCTCGGTCGGCCGTCTCTATTCGTATCGTCTCGGAGTCGTTCATGACAGAAACGCCGGAAGTCAAAATCTACCAGGTCAGGTGAACGCGGCTGGTT